ACGAAAGACAAATTCGATAAAAGTTTAAAAAGAAGAAGAAGCGTTGAACACACATATTTCCCAAAAATTCCATAAAATTGTATCGATTGAAAATATCCACTGTGGTCGTTTCGTCGGAGGTGTTGTCTCTCCATTTGTCTCTTTTCCAAAAAGGAGGTAACATTTTCCGCATTTTCAAATATCTGCGATCGCATCAATTTAACTGAATCATCGACAGATCTCTTACCATCGCGAATCGTCTTCTGTTCTTTTTTATTTTTGTTGGTTTTCAATTTCAGATTTCTCTTTCTCTCTATCGCTCGTTTGTTTTATTAAAAAAAAATTATTACCCGAATCAATTTAAAGAGCAAGCCCAAAAGCCAACCGGTCAACTGTTTTTCGCCTATAAATGGCTCAGACGAGATATGAATTACGAGTGTGTGTGTGTGCACACTGTGCATACTTGGTTTATTTCAATTCAATACTCGAACTTCAATGATTTCTTCTTCGTCATTTCTTTTTCGTTCTTTCTTTCGTCGAGTTTTTCGAGATCTTAACCGTGTGCATGCGCGCATAAAATATGAATTAAAATCGGTAAAAATCGAAGCAAAAACACCCCACATATAAATGGAAACGAAGAAATTCCATCGTCAACCGACAAGAAGTACAACTGCATTAGACATGGTTAAAAGTAATTACTAAATTATAAAAAAATGTGACAATTATTCCATCATGTGCGATTCTCATTTCGTATCGCTTTTTACTTCATATCGTTCACATTTTATTTGATTTAAACGAAAAGCTGTACACAACATCGCATTGACTGCACCATTCAACGATCTTCGATCACTCTCATGATCTTTCTCATTCTCTCTCTCTCTTCGCCATTTCGTTTGCGTAAAGTTCATTTTGGATAGCACATTGTCCTTATGAGGCTAATGTGTGTTACCTGAGAAACGTTTAAAGAGACAGTGAATTCTGCCTTTTTTTCTGTTGTCAATTGCTTCTGAGTGCATGAATTTGTACAAAATATCGGCCTAGCTGATGTTTATGTAAGGTTGAAAATGTGATCCAGATGAACAATTTTGGAAATGGCATGCAACTACTGCATTCAACATATATGTATACCTATATGCTTTCTTAAACAAAACAAAAACGAATCAAAAAAAAAGTAACACGCAGTCGATTGAGTTCGTGTCGTCTTTTTCGCGCGCGAGAGTTCGAAAATTGACTGCTCATTTTTGGCTAATTACCACCGAACTTGCACTGATTTCCAAATACATATACACATTCTTATTATTGGTACGTTGGATCTTGCGTTGGACTCTTTGATATAAAAATGTACACCGATCATTTCTCCAAAAAATGATATCGATGAAGAATTTAAAAAAAAGAAACACTTAATTGCCATTCGATGGATGTGTATCATTTTCGAAGCACGCAATTCAAGGATGGAATTCACATTTTTCCCAATTTCTTTTCGTTCGTTCAGTTCATTTTTCGACTACATTGTAACCAAATTTGGCTTGATTCGAATATAAATTGCTCTGAAACTGAGCGATGAAGATGTGGAGAAAAACGATACATTTCACATACGTATTAAATTGAAGCAACGAAGCATGAAATGTGCTCCATAACAACATAACAAGTGGCCCGACTATAATAGGTCATAAATTAAATGATTGAACACCTCTTACATAATTGAATCAAATTCACGCGCCTTTTTGCCCAGCAGCAATGGCAGCAGCACCAACAACACAGCGTGAATTGAATGTGCATGAGAAAGCAAAAACGAAGAAACGAACCAGTTAACTTACACCTTTAGATGGTTATCCACATAAATAGAGCAATTCGCAATTAATCGCATAAAAATGTTATATATTTCCATATATGAGATTGCTTCAGATTATCCAAACGAACGCAACAAGTGCACCACCGGTTTGACGACAAATTGCCGTAGTTTTACCAAAAACAACAGCGCAATATCTTAAAGGTGCGTGATAAATTGGTGGTCGACCGTTTCATCTATCATGCGCCCAACGCGCAATTATTCCATTTTTTTTTTGGTCAGGCCTATGACAACCGTTTAGCCTATTTTATTTATTTTCCGCCACTGTTTTTACTCCGCTCTATCATCACATCGAATAATTAAGGCCCATTACACGATTGCCAACACGTGCTTTTTGTTTAATTTGAAGAAGATCGAACGAATCGATTTCAACTTTTATCCGTTATGTATCAACAATGTGAAAAATCGAGATAATGTCGCTGCCAATCGATCAAATGTCGAAGACACTTTATTTATTTTATGAACCGTGTATAGTGATTGTATTTTTAATTTATATTCGTTTGTGTTCGTTCTTTCTTGCCATCATCATTTTCACTAAATGGTCATCTCGGGAGCGCCAGGCCGAGAGCACAATCGATTCATCGCATTGTGAAAGTAACCATTTATTAAACTGTGTGTTTGTGAGTGTGTATCGAACATGGTTGCGTGCATCGTGATAAATTTTCATTGTTTCGATTTTGATGCTAATCGCTACATTGCAATTACAAACGACGAACCGATTGATAATGATTATTGTTTGTCATTTAACTAACATCGTTCATCGCTTTTACTATCGATGCAATTCAATCTGTTTTTCTTCTTTGTGCATATTGTGTGTGTGTTTTTTTTTGTTGGTGCTTCGGCATGAGCCGCTTTCTGTCGCACACAGCCTATTTGATTGATTAATGACACTTTAGAAGTAAATGAAGTGATAATGCGATAATTTTACACCATTAAATTTAATGAATGCATGCATTCCACATCGCGCATCATGCGCATTACTCAACTCAAACTACCACAAAACGCACTAACAACAACGATCAATGCCACAACAACTCAAACCATGACACATGAGATAACCACGAGATGTGATTGAAGAGCCAGGTTTTTTCTTCTTCTTCTTTTTCCTCATATCATCTTTATTAACTATTGAAAAATCATTGACATTTCATGTCACAACATTCATACATACCTTAAAAGCAAAAACAAAGACTTTGCATTTTTTAGTTATTTGTGCCTTCGATACTCAACTTTTTCCATTTTGACTAGGAAAAAATGGATTCAAAAAATGAATTTGAGAGGACAAGTTTTCTTTGTTTCGCAAAATAATCCAGTTTTCAGATTGTTGCTCATTTGAATTGTATTTTACTTGTACAAGTCTATCAGTATTAATTTGTCAAAATTTTCTTTGTGTCAAAGTATTTTTTCAAAAGAATTTTCAATGATATTTCAATTCGGTAGATATGAATGTATTTTCCAATCCTCTCTGATTTTCTCTTCCCCGTAACTAGACGATTTTTTTTTCTTACGAAAAATCGCTCTTTGAAAAGAATAGCAAAGAATAAATCCAGCTTATTCCCAGCAACAACAAAAAACTAGCCATATACAATAAAAACTTCTTCGCTAGGACGTTCTAGTTTTAAATATGCGCTGTGGCGCACACTGCATCTGAATTGAAAATGAGTGTGATTGTGATTTTGTGTTGAAAGCGACTCATTAATTTATATCACGCATCGCCGTCATTCATCGTCGGTGTTTAACAGTTGTGTACTTTTTTTCTTTCTCTCTTTCTTTTGCTCTTTTCTGCACAATTTCTTCTTTTTTCATTGTGCATCATCTCCTCGATCCATACGATCGGAAGCGTATTGTATAAGAAAGTTTTACAAGAAAAAAAGGCGACCAATGGCAATTGGTTTCCAAACTAAATGCACGACGAATCGATCGTCGACAAATTGACAGCGGCAAGAAGGTCAAACAAGCGAATCGAACAAAAACGATTAATGCAATAAAAATGTTAAACAGCTACCAAACACAGTCGATCGACAGCAATTTGTGCAAGAAACGCAACGAACAAAAAGAGTCGACAAGTTAAAAAAAAGTGCGCATACGATGAAAATGGTCTGTCAATGGAACAAGCAGAAAAAAATAGCCCATCGACTACAAAATATTTAACAAATAAATCATTTCACATGCATTTGTTTGACGCATTTTAAACGCATTTTCTCTACAAAAAGTAATCGGTGTTTTATTTTTTGTTCAGCGCAGATTTAAGACTCTTTCGCAAGCAAAAAAAAGTTTTAATTTAAACAAGACGATTTTGAACAACGAAAAAAAAACCATCGACAATTCGAATTGATATTTGATTGACCATTGCCCATACTAAATGAAGTTGTTGTTGAACGAATTTTATCACATTCAGTAGGGAAAGATACATTCCATTGCACGACACGGTATGCATTGATCAGAAAGTTCATTTGCAATCACAATACAAACAAAAAATAACACCACACACTTTTTTTTTCAAATTGTCGTCATTTGGTTGCATGCATGTGCAAATAATAGTCAATAAATCATTTTAGCCTCGATGCGAAATGCAGAGAAGGAGACGAAAATATGGCTACAAGCGTGCGCATTACTGAATTCGGACATTTGAATTGAAATTGGCAATAGTTCGAAGCCCATTTGTTAACGTGCCATGAAATTTAAAAGAAGAGAAGTGAATAAATATGTATATATATATAGCGGCTAACAAGTTGAACGCATTAATAACATGTTGTCAAGATATAGCCAAGAACTGAGTCAATATGCATGTCAATCGGTGAAGAATGTTCGCGCACAGACACTGTTCGCTATACGGTCACACTATAAGAAAAATAATGATATAAAAAACAAAATACAGCGCACAGTATCACATTCAATTGCTCAATTTCAGCATTTCCATTCAACATTTTTTTTATAGTTGCACACGGAAAAAAGGAAAAATTACTGTATAAGATTCTTCTTGTTTTATCAATAAAGAGAAGAAAAAAAAATAATGCGTCACAAACATTTTTGACGTTGGCGCTACAAATTAAATCGTTAAAAGTTGATATGCATGTTTGCTCTTACTCCCTTTGTCTCCCCTTGTTGTATCGTATGCTCAACAATTCCAATAAAATACTAATTTTTGTTTATTTTCTTGTTTGTTTTGCAGTCATTTTTCGGGCGCACGTACAACAATTTGTCATCAATATCGGAATGTAAAAACAATCGCGATTGCATCATAAATAAAAAAAATCGTACGTCATGTAAGGCATGCCGTTTGCGTAAATGCTTATTGGTTGGTATGTCGAAAAGTGGCTCTCGATTTGGACGTCGATCAAATTGGTTTAAAATCCATTGCTTGCTGCAAGAGCAACAGCAACAACAACAACAGCAACAAGTAAGTTTCCCGCAGTCTATATCTATCTATCTCACAATCCAGAGAGCTGTCACCAAAGAAATATTTCAAAATCATAACATCATTTTTTTCTTCTCTTTACTCCGACGTAGCAACAACAAAGCGAACAACGTGAGAGGAAGAGCTCAACGTCCGACACTAAACTTACCGAACCAACAGAATCGATTAGACACAGTGATACTGGAACACCATCTTCGAATCGTATTCACGATTCGGCCGCCAATTTTTTGTTCTCCACATCGATGGCACTGGCAATGAAGGCACAACGAAAACGAAAGAAATCATCTAGCGATTCGGGCGCCTCGTCTACTACCGACGAAAATCGCCCACGATCTCGATGCTACAGGTAAACATTTTATTTATTATTAATTAATTTACATGTTGTTGTTTTTTTTTTCTTCAATTTTTGTGGAAAAAAATGTGTTTTTTATTTATTTCGTCATTTCTAGTCCAACGACACAACAACATCTCTTCCTCAATGGTCAGAAGAATTTCCACTTTACCAACAATCGATTCTTTTCAACCACATCAACGATTACATCACAATTACTGTCATCGTAAGTTTGCACATTTTTAGCAGATCATTTTTTTTCTTTATAATTTCCATCATTCGAATGAGCATTCCAATTTTTATTAATCTTTTTAATTGAAAAAAGAAGAGAGAGAGAGAGAGAGAGAGAGCGAAATGCAACCAATCGCATTTAATATGAAATTGAATTTTAATTATCTAATTAAATGTTTTAATGATTCATAATTTTATAATTGATTGGGTAATAATCGTTTTTGAAATTCTTCTCTTCATTGGTTTTTGTCACATTTCGATAAATGTTATGAGTCGAAATGTTGTTGAATGCAACCAAATCTTGGCATTATATGATTCTTGTTTTCATTTTTTGCTTTACACTTTAGTTCAATTTCTGATGTGATATTTTTCATGCTTAATTTAGATATGGTGTATGCATGATGACACCGCCAACGGCCAGTCCTGCCACCGCAACAATGTCACCACCGTCGGCAACAAGCCTTAACCTCTACGTGCAAAATGAACCGATCGACTTATCAATAAAATCCAATCGATAGAATTTATGCGCACATTCTATATACGTACTACACACATATCGTCCAGAAATGCATTTTCGTGACCCCAATGATACATTCATTCATTAAACTACTTTTTTTCGAAATCACAAACTCTCTTCATACTTTTTTTTTACTTATTACAGAGAGAGAATTTTGACTCATTCATATTGCTCGACATTTTTTTTTCTTTAATTTTTTTTATTTATTTATTATTATGTGCATAAGAACATTCCATATAAAATTGTATGTATTGGCTTTGTAAGCGAATTTTTGTTTTAAATGTTACAAATATTTAATATTTATTGCAAGCGCCCAGTTTAAATGTTTAAGATATGAATATACAAACTCTGTGTGTAAGTTTTATTAATATTTACGACAACCAACACAATTTTAGCTATTTCGTTGTACAACATATAAATATATTAATTTTCGTAGTTAAATTAAGTCGCATAAAAAAAATTGGCAGAGATGACAGAGTGTCTTTTATCGCACACTTTATTAGAAATTATCATTTTCTCTATTTTACACGCGCACAAAACCTAATGAATCGTTGATGTAGCTTAAAAAGGCTGAATTACTTAAAAATGAATGCAACTGGTGCAGACCATCGTCAGTTTTATAAGAATTTTGAATATTTATAATATTAATCAAGTTTATTTATTCTGTTGGTTAGTTTCAATTGTTTTATATTCAGTCGTCATATAAAACGTACACATTTTCGAAATGAACAATTTTCATCAGATGATTTTCGTAATAAAAGAATAAAAATTTCTTTTTAAAAATATACTATTTAGATACAAATACTACTTTGTCAGGTTTAAATGTTTCGGAGCACAAACTATACATATAAAGCAATTTGATCAAATTTAATTTGAAAAATACAAAATCAAAACTCATTCCCTTTAATAGCGAAAATCATTTATACTGGAATCGAGAAATTGTGAACGTTTTAATTATTATTTGTTTATGTATCGAATAAATATGGTGAATTTTTGAAAGTGTCCATATTTATCGCCGCATCGAATATTGAAACATTTGACTACGAAAAATGCATATAAAATATTTTGTTCGACTTTTGTAAAAACCCTACAGACATAACTTTTTTTCACTCGAAATACAGTCGAGATACATTTTAAACTAATATTTTTCTTAATATGAAAACCGATTATAACTATTTGAAATTCAAAATAAATTACTGAAGATGAAAAAGCAAGGAGACAATTTTTTTTCTCGGAAGATTGGAATAATTCCTCATGTAATGTGCATGTGTTTGTGGAAAGTAAATTTAAATTAATATTGATAGTGAATGGAATAGACATTGCATTGGATTAAAGGGCACTATTTAAGATTGTACTTAAGACATTAAGATAGATTAAGAAATTTAATTGATAGTAAATTTGAGTGGTCAGTAATCGGGCAGCATCGATTTGGGATTGATTAAAGGCCAGACAATTCAATAACTAAACTCTAACTATTTTGTAATATTGAAAATAAAACGTTTTTTTTATAAATCACTTATAAAATCGTTGATTTCATTTTAATTTTTGTTTGGAAAGTCAAAGATATAGCTTATCAAGAAATGTGCTAAATGGGTTCTTCACAGTGGTGTACTAAAATATTCGAGGTTTATGTTTTGAATATCATAAGCTTCAACGCACTTAAAGCTACAATAAAAGCGGCATACTAATTCGTGTACTTTCCGTAGATGGCGTTTTCTTCTTTCTAAAAATGATATTACCAAATAAAAAAAAATTATTTGAAAATGTTGTTTGAAATCATATTTTTTTTATTCATTAAAAACCGATAGAAAAAAAAGTGATAACAACAATCAACAGTGTCAAGATTTGATTTCTTCATTATATTTTTCTTATTTCTTTTTCTTTTTTTCTTTTTTTGCTAGATCCAAGCCGGTGATGAATTTCGGCGGAATTTTGTAGGTGTCAGTGAGCAGTTTGTGCACGAATCGAATTTGATTGCCTTGTACGAGTAATTGTCCTTTATTACCGTTGGCCGGACAATCTGGACGAATGATTGAGGTGCTGGCTGCAACGCCAACTTTGCATGCTTGCGCAAATTCTGGCAAACGAATACCAAACAATTCCATGCCATCAATCAATGTAACTTGTTTATTGCCACACCGTGTGGCCAATGTCATTTTAATCGTTGCCTGTTTGCCGCTGGTTTTCAATTCATTTCGGTTTCGCATCGCATAACTATGATCCATGCGATCGATTATTGTTGATAAAATCACATCGAATGGTACAGTTTTCTGCTTTTCATCCAATTGACACACATCGCGCAGCATGGCATCAACATGAATTTGACGAATATTGGCCACATCTTGAAGTTTATTATTGCAAACATATTCTTTAACATATTTTTTTACTTGAGCTGGTTCAATGCCTTCGCCACACTTTACATCAAATACATTAAAAAATTTCATTGTATCATTTGTTACGGTATACAATTCTTTCATTTCGGTAACAAATAAACCACCCGTACCAGATTCCGATTGTCCACTACCATCCGATACATTCAGAATAGTATTCACAACATCGGGATGTGTTGTATTGAATGCCACAATTTTCTCCACACCTTTTGGTTCTTCTTTTACGGTTAGATAATTATAACTGGCCATATCTTGGAGAAATTTTGATAGTTTTTTATATGTGGTCTTTTTGATATCGATGTCATTATCGGCTTCTAAAATGTGATTACGATAAAAGTTACTCGTTAACAGTGGTGTTGGTGGTTTTTTCCCCATTTTTTTTATTGCCGTTAAAAATGCTCGTTTCAATTTATCATCTGGTGATTCAGTTGGCTCAAGTGGCTCATTTGATTCATCGTCAATTGTTTCACTATCGTCTTTCGAAATCTCTACATTTTGCATATCATTTTCAAGGTGTGACGTTTCCGTTGAATTCAACTCAGATGGCATTACTGATTCGACGGATTTTGACATCGATTTTGGTTTCGATTCGCCAAGTGCTGGAAAATCATCCATTGTCGGTGGTTTGACAATGGCACCAGAATTTGGCACTTGAAGACACACAGTCGGATCGTAGCCCCACAATTTATCGCCAAATACATGCATTATTCTAACACCAACACCCGCGTTTGCAGCCATATACAGATCGGCACTGGATCTAGCTAGTAGGCCAATGGCCACTGCCGAACGATTTGATGTTAGATTCACAGCCACAACCGTATCACACCTGTAATTGCCATATGTTGAATAACCCGTGCCTTGTTTGATTATACCTAAAACAAATTATATGACAATTTAGAGCAATTACCAAAAACGCAATGAAATGCAAATGATAATGAAACAAACCAGGAAGCATTAAATCAGCACCACCAGCCAAACGTGGCAAAACGGCCGGATGTGTGGTAAACGATGGAATCATCTCTGGTAAAATCCAAAGTGAATAAACTGTTGGTAATACCACCGCCTTTGATTCATCGCCGCTCGGACTGAATTCAAAGAACATTGGACGACGATCACATGTGTAAACAGTCACCAATTGGCCAGAATATGCATACAATTTTACTTGATTCAGCGTACTTTTGCTCGGTAATAATTTATTTAAATCATCTTCGTTTAGCTTAAATGTGGATTCGACTTTTGAACGCAATTTTTTTCGCTCAGTACTTTTGATTTGAGTATTACTTTTCGTTTTAAATGGTTTTACAAACATTTTAATTTTTTTCTATATTACGTATGCAACGAATAAATTCGCGATCTATTTAAAACCAAAGAATGCACAAAAACCACCACGTGATTCAAATAATTTACACCAAATTTTCTCTAACTTATGATCAGAAAATTGAAATCATTCACAAATTTTCCGATGTCGTTGTGTCAAAAAAAATATATATGAATGAACTCATACAAAGAGCATAATTGAGGTTATGTTAAATGTCATTTTTTATAGCAATGGACTTATTACAGTTTGTTGTTGGACTATTTGAATCGGCCAATTAAATAAACGTTAATTATTCAATGAAATTCATGCATTTTTGCCACCTTCATTTATTAAATGGAAAATGAAAAAAATCTAAACGAATAAAATTTGCAAAAAAAGCTACAATGTAAATGTGGAAAACATCAGAGTAAAATCATTTTCCGTAAATAATTATTCTTTAATGGCCTTTATTTATAGATAGCTTCATTTAATTTATGAAATGATACTAAATAAATCATCTATTAGTCATATAAACATTGTTATTGTTTCACTATCGAACAATGAGAGTGGAGTGTGGACTTTATACTACAATATAATTATGTGTTAAACAATTGTAGATATAAATGAATAGAGTTCCGGAATAAAAATGATGTTTTATACAAAATAGTTGTTATTTATATCGAGATGAAGTTGAAATGCATGCACACTGTTGATTTTTCAAGTGTATGACACTTATAAATGTGTTTTTCCAAATTGTACTAAAAATTAATTGGAATTAAAAATGCTTTTGTTATTGAAAAACACTCATCAAACGAACAATTTTACGCGTTGAGATAGTGTATAGCCAAATTTCTTCGAATGAAGCATCAAATACTTACCTTTCATATAATAAATCACATAAAATAATTGGAAATACTATTAATTTATTGAAATGAATGGATATGAAGAGGGACCATTGGTCATTACCTCATTCGAAGATTTAAGCACAGTGAACAGTGCATATTATTTACACATCTATAAAATAACACATTGCTCTCATTTGTTTTAGTTTTGGCAACAATATGCTTGCATTCAGTTCATGTTCTCTTCATTTGATGCTATCGAGTAACAACACCAACGATGTCATATCGATAAATTCTAAGAAAATTCAATGCTTAAACCACAAATTATATCAAATTAAATGAACTTTTTAATGTTAATTTCCGTTTTGCTATCATTTTACATGCAATTTAATTAGAATTGATGGTATTCGTTATTCATTTGCAGCAGCTACTTATTCTAATGGTGCGGTCACGGTAACATAAACACAGCCATCAGCATATACCATGCACCATCTCGCATAGCAAATGAGATTTCCCCCGATGCATCCAAAGTGCATTTATGCGACCTCGAAAGCTACAATAACACCACAGCAACTCTTTGGCTTAATAACAAGCACACGCGCATCCACTAAGAGATTCTCACTTTCTCTCTCTATCTCTCATACGCTGGCATCATTAGGAGACGAAGAGAAAAAGATGACCGAACAAAAGGAAAAAGAAATCGCAACACTGAACCAAAAAAAAAAAAAAAAAACAATGAATAAAGGCTAAAATAACGAGATATAATTTTCGCTTTGTTGTACCGGCAATTGGTGGTGCAATGGAGTTGAGCATCAAGTCAAGGCCACAGTCAATTTCATTATTTTACAGTTTTTTATTCGGAACGTTATTTCTATCTGTAAGGCCAGTTGTTTTATGTTATCCATCAATTTTTGAAAAGTTATGGTTGGATCGGTGTCGGTGTCACGGTTTTTTTGCTACTCGTTTTGTACTCTATTTGGATTCACTTACATATATGCAGCTTCTTTTTATCTCCATACCACCTCATCCAGTAGCCCCGAACAATGTTTCATGTTGCACATAAAATGCCATCGTCAGAAAGTGGCGCATATTTGGTGTAATTTGTGGTAAAAAGTTTTTAGTGAAAAATTTATTCAAAAGCATCTCAGTACGATGCTTATAAGAATTTTTTTTTCGGAAATCACTTAAAGCGTCCATAAAGTAAAAAATATAGCGACAGAGAAATTGAAAGCTTTGAAAGTCTTCTGATGAATATTTGAAATTCCTTTGCATTACATTTTACATGATGCGCAATTTTTTTTTTGTTGAACAAAATTCATGCATATTTTGTAAGCATAACACTAGAAGAATGCAAGGTTCTTCTGCTACACTGTAATAAAAATACATAATAAAAAAAGGCAAAAAAAGACAAGCACATTTGGTTTGGATGTGTTCTACATTGTTTAATTTATTTATGCATTTATTGATTCGGTTTTGAATTTTGCATGGATGTATGGTATAATTATAATTTAATTTTATAAAACGGAACACTGTGTATGAGTGTTGGAAGATTGTGTGGAATTGCATGGCATTCGGGACAGGTTTCACAAACAGAATTCGATTTTTTTTTGTGTTCATAAAATTATCTAAATATATTAATTTTCACATTTAAATACAATTATTTTTTGAAATTTAATTTACCAAAACCAGCGCACATTTTTTTTCGTTTTATTTTGTCCTGCTCTATACATATTCAAAAATAAAATGCTGTCTGCTGTGCATTTTATAAAACCAAATAATTTCATATTAAAGCCAATTTTTCTTTTATTCCCGAATGACATTTGGACGAGAAACGTTTTTCCGATAATTTATGTAATTTTCCATTTTTCCAACAGCGAGTCTCCGTCATGGGTTTGTGTTTTTGGCTGGTTATTCTGTTGATTTTTATAGCATTCCAAATATTTGGACTTAAGCTAACTTGATTAAAATATATGGAAAAATCAACAGGTTTGTTTTTATGTCAGGCCTATAAAAATAGTCCACTTAATTGATGAAACGATTTAAAAAGAAAATGGGTATTAAAACGCTACTAAGTGCTCAACCGATTTCAATAAGTATCATAAATTATTCCGTTTCCACAACCAAATGGCATCAAATGTATACCATGCGCTGATTTCATTTAACACAAATATTATACATCGATTTTTAAAGTCTAATTTAATAAAATTGTGTTATTGTTTATTTGTTTTGAAATTTCCAAAAAAAAGTACATTCATTTCATGATTCTTATTGTGTTCCACTTGAAAAGTGAACAATGAACATATACCTAAGCTGCTATGAGTGATTTAATAACAAAAATAAAAATCAACACTTCTATGAAATGGAAAGCGATTCTATTGTTAAAAACATTCTATTTTCATTTTCGTATCAGACTAAGAAGTGTTCATCTTATTTATGTTCCACATTGCTAAACTCGATTTTCTCAAAAAGGCGAATTTTTCCCGAACGAAATGTATATCGATTTATTTATAATTATAAGATCGCAAAGAGCTTAACTCAAAACTACAAAACACAAACAAAGTACCACGTTCGATTGTACATAAAACATAAACGTAAGAACATTTGTAATTATCCAATGAAATGTTTGCAGTGAAAAAATGTTTCGGTCCATTTTTCTTCGTCTCCTTCTTTCTTTCATCAAAATTATTTTCATTTTCGCGTATCAATTCTTTTCGATATCATATATTTCTTGTTGGCTGCATCGAGGAATAAAAAACAAAACAAACCACCACTTGTGATGGTACAACGTGCATGAAGCCACAATCTTCGTTTTCCTACAATTATAAACTCTTACATACTCTTGCGTGTTTATAAACAAAAATAATAATGACTATACCGAGTCGCATATCACTACAACAGAAACTTGCGGGAAACAAATGAAACCGTAACCAATATAATGTTCATGTCATCATTATCATTATTATTTGCTATTTTTTTTATATATCTATTCGTTAGTAATGTTTCTTTGTGTTGTTGTTTTTTTTCTCTATTTTTATATAATGTTTTAAAAATGTTTTGTAGTCAAATATAATATTATTCCCTTATTCTCTATCAAAGTATTCGCAATCGACACTTTGAAAACAGCTATCTTTGGTTAACTTTTCGATTCAATTATAATATGCATATCAACTTAATAAAAACATTGTTCGATTTCGGTGATGAATTGTTTGTATTCTCTTCATTTTCATTTTCGCTTTATTTTGCCATCGTTTTATTTAATAATTCAAACCAAAACTGAAGAATCTTGCAAAAAAAAATTGCCAATAAGATTTGGTTTCAAAAAAAGAACCGAAATCAGACAACACTTTGATTAATACATCAAATATATTGATTTGATCAATATACAATTTTTAGTTGTAAAATAGCCACGTTTACAATGGTTCATGTTTAAAAACAATGCACACATGAGTCCAAAATATGCAAAGGTGTTTTCGTTATTCGTCCTCTTTGTGTAGTACATTGTTATACAAAAAGACAATTTTGGGACAAAATTCAACATTATTTTTTTTTGCTAGGTTTGAAATTTTAAAATTCAAATTTCGAAGTCATATTTACTGGACTTCGAAAACATAGAAGACAAAGGGAATAAAATCCAACATGAATTACAAAAAGATGCAACAATCATCAAAAACATTGATTTGCACGAGATCAATTCTAATTCTAGGGAATAAACACATATATTCCAAATGGAATGTGCAAAACCATTTATAAATTTGTCATTTTTAAAATCTGGTGAAAATGCGGTCAAAAATGTGTACACACAGATCGGGGAAATTTAATTTAATAAGTCGTATGTAGTAGTTTGTATTCTATGCATTTGAATTAATTATATCATAAAATTTCATTTAAATGGCATTCGTCTGGTTGTCGTTTTCATTCATGTTTATTACTATATGTAATGGAAGCTAGAAGCTGAACTCGTTCATTTTCAAAATTGTAATTATTTACGTTTCTTTTTGTAAATAGTAAAATTCGACGTATGTTCTCATTCACATGTTCAAAAACTACACTTCGATTACCGCTTTTGATAAATAATTCATACATCGAACTCAATAAATATCTACTTCGTGAATAGTTCCTATTCTACAATGTTCTTGCTGTTCATTAATTAAGTCTTGCGATTCTACGATGGCAATGTCATGGAACCAAAGTGTTGAGTACTATGCACAGCTCTTCTTTGCTCGCACATTCCAGAAATGGACTCGGCTTTGACGTTAAGTACGCCAACTGTGTGCATTCTTTGTCGGTGTCTACTTTCAATATATCTACCGGAATATATTTCGTTCATATTTTATCTCCATTCGTAATACAGAAATAATGGCATCAATGTGAATTTATCCTAAACTAATACTCATTTTATACCGGGGCCAATTAAACTATGCATTTTTTTCGAAATTGACTTAACGATTTCAAACGAAATTGAGAGAAACAGAGGCGTCGGGAGAGGGAAGAGGTGCAGTGGGAATGTTGAGAGCATACAATATTGTGTGCGCAAATAGTATGTGCTCTTAAAATTCATTGAATGCTATTAAAATGATTGTGCATATTTTATGAAGCTGATCGGTTTCAATTTGGGAACCAGCTTCAAAATGAGATCAAACCAAAATCCAGCTCTCGACAGTTTAAATCAGTGGGAGATAAACTAGATTACGAAATGGAAATTCCAATATACATTTGTGTGCACATATACATTTTCGTCGAAAGTTTACAAAAAAAACCGTTTCCAATAAAAGGTTTAAGTGCCTGTTCAATGGCCATTCAAACGAAGTGGAATAACCCGATTTGGAAAAAGGAAGAATCTATATGGAGAGTGAGAGAGTTAGAATATTATTTAAATCCCAATGCATTCCCCTAAATTTTATTAAACTTTGGCCATTCACAAGAATCTCGACTTTCTTCTTCTTTAGTACACTCAATTTCGTAGTTATCCATAGCAGTTTATTGAATGTGTTTGCAAGTAAACGTTATTTTCATTGTGTATTCCGAATAGAGTATTTGTTTGATTTTTTTTTGTAATCAATTTAGTTAATGTAGTGTAAATGGAGGGGCAGGGAATAAAATTGAGTCTAGATTATTTCAAATCAGGCATTAAAGGGCAGTAGTTGGGTTTGATTGGATTCATTAGATTTAAATACTATATACATCTATATCATTTCGTTGATACTACAGTGTTTGATTTAATGGATTCCACAGTGAAAATGTACGACCGAATACAGTCTACTCTCATTCGGTGTAAAAGAAGTGAGAGTTTATTTGAAGGCTCCATTCGGTCGTTCCTTCGTCCAAAACAAATTTCTCTAATATCTAATTTATGGCAGACTTGAGCCAATCAACAATTTCTTCAGATACAAAGATATTCATTTGTTCGCAATTTTGCTTCGTGTCATATACAACGACGACGACTGATTTTGATTTAACTTGGATTTTTTTTGTCACAACTACTCAACAAGAACTCCAAATTATTTTCTAATTTGATATATAAAAACATGTTTAGTTTGTGTGCATATTTCAAAATATTCGCTTAATTTCGTCATACTCATAACAAGTTTGTTTTATTCACTTTTAATGGAGTGTATGTTCTAGAGTATTACTTTGATTTCTGAGCTGACTTGAACAAAAAAAATGTTTGCAAGTAAAACATATATGTCAGTGGGTGCGAACGGGGGTGTCGAGGAATGCCGTTTGAAAAATTCTTTGCCAAGTTTTTTACCAGAATGTTTACACCAGATTAAAAAAAGATTTTGAAAATGAATCCCCGCCCATAAAATAACCCTCGCACATCACTGACTCATGTCATTCAAACAAAATCTGCAAAAAAATCTATTTGCAAAAGGATTTATAGCTTTCGTGCTTATTTAAAGAAAAAAAAAACTTTACGTCTAGCTTAGGAATTTTTGGTATTGTCGAATGAAATTCTGAAAATGTCTACAGCTATAGCTCCAATTCGGAAAATGAAATAAGCCATAAAAGAGAATTCGAAAATATTTCATAGATATATTAAAAATATCCGAATAAATGAAAAGTATACCAAATTTCGTTTGATCTTTCCGCCCAAGGATTGATTTGTTAGTATTTTCACATTTGTTTCAAGCCATACAAAACTAGGTGAGGATATTCTTTTCCCTTTCCATTGTTATAGGTGTTGTTGTTGAAAAGTTATCCAGTTGTTCGCTACGATTAAGTACTATTCACCGCCCATGTCATTTGTATGCATGACATGATAAGCAAAATCTGTTAAACATTCTTTCTATCTCTCTTTCTCTGCGCATTAAAAACTCATTAACTCAACATCCATTCGTCGTTATAAACTATATCGTTATTTTCATCATCTCAAATTTCTTTGCCAACAGTTGTTACATATAACAAACTGTCGCTTGCAATTAACATGTCATAAAACTGGTGTTCGAGATGCCGAACAAGAACAAAAAGAAAACACGAAAAACAAAAATTCAATAAAGAAAATGTATGCATATTTAAAAAAAAAATCAAAAATTTGGTATAAACCGTAGTTTTTTCCTGTGTATATTTAGTTGTGATATTTATGTACATTATATTTTGATTCAAGTAAATTCATAAGGATTTTATGTGTTGACTGAGCAAAGTGTATTTGTGTGGTTTTGTGCTTTGATCAGTCGTTCACCACTTACCCCAAATAGAGTGTGAGAAAAAAAATGAATAAAAAGAGAATTGCGGAGCTGCAATGGGCTGCCAAAATTCACGGGTGTGATAAGAAATGACGAATAAATCAAAACTCCAGCAAATTTATGTTTTTAGCGAATGAATGGTATTGCAGAAGCACATCCGATGCATGAAATGCTTAAACTTATATCAAATATCCTCCGAAGTGGGTTTTTTCACATTAATTGAAGTCGATGGTTGTTCGATGGGCACTTGTTCGATTGCATCGTCTGGCGGATTTGAAGTCGTCAAACGGAACTGTTGTTCAATTACAGCTGAACCGGTTAGTGTTTGTTGGCTGCTATCCAAATTTATGGTCAATTCGTTGGTTTCTTGTTGTTGATCGGATGTGTTTTCAGCTCCATGCGTTTCCAATTTAACACCTTGATCCGTGGAAATCAATTTTAACACTCTAATTGCATCATTAGCGATTTGTTTATCTTGTAAGAATCTATTTGATTGTATATTCACAAACATTGTCACAATTTCAATAAAGAAAATGTCATTATTTGCATTACGATTTCCGGTGGAATGATGAAGCAATGTCGAAGACGAATTTGACATTGGTTTTGATGTGTATGCGGTTTAGAGGTACGCAGTCAACCATAAGCGTAGAAGATGATGATGATCCATTTGAATTGCCGGAACAAATAATGAAAACGGAAATATAAAAATAAAACAAAAATAATGTCAATATGTATAAATTCAACGAAACAAAAACGAAAAAGGGATGAAAACATATTTTGAGTGCATTGTGAACATTCGCGCATATTCGAACATGAAGAATTGTGAATATCGAGCGAATACGATTGAATGTGAAATGTGACGCGAAACATCAGAGTAAAGATGTGATGCAATGAGTGTGAGTCGAACAGTTGGCAAGACAACACATTCGCCAACCAATCTCACATCATTGACAACTTCACACGTTCAATATCAAAAAAATACTCATGGATTTCAACAACAAAAGCACAAAACATATCAAAAGCGTAACACATTACGCCTCTCTCTCTCTCTCTCTCTCTCTCTCTCTCTCTCTCTCAGAAACACTCTTAACAGATAAATCCGATTACATTGTCTTCTGTCAATCGTCAATGGTCCATCAGATACGATTTTTCAGTCAGTGTCAAGTGTATTAATTCAATAACTTTGAAAGCTATTTGATTCAATAGCAACAAAACCACGTACAGTTTATGCATCGCATAAATAGCTCTCTTCAAAATTTCAACAAAAATGTAACATTCAACAAAGTGATTATTCAAAGTTTAAACGTTTTATGGAAGTTTAAATCGAAAATGCTAAAAGCAACGGAAGTCAAGAAGAAGACAAGAAGAAGTAATATGTTGAACACTGAACACCTAAGCCATATGCTATTCAAATAATGATTATTTTATCATCAACTCGAACGCATCGATAATCATCAACATCAACTGTAACAATAAACATTATGTAGATTCGAATACTTCTTCATTAGAATAGTGACTCGAGTATCCGAAAACACATTGGTGGTGTACATACGGTATGGTATTCTACCATAGCTTCTGGCATAGGGTCCAAGGATTACCCCTATCCCAGTTTGCTAATGATGTTGGATGTTTAAATGTTTGTGAGGAAAACGGTAGAACATACAATACATTTCAAAAACAGAATATTGGTTTTTAATTAAAAATTAATCACTATCCTTCTTTTCTGTTTGATAATTGTTTTCAAGTTTCATCATTGCCGATGGCATTTTCAATATAATGAGTTCCATGTTTTGGTCGCCGAGAGAACATTGCCATTGAAGACGGACCTCCCATTAAGAAGGTAAGCTTTGAATTGACAAAGCGTGTGTTTCGAATGAAAAGCGCGTTACATCAAAATGGTATTATATTGGACTTTTCCATTATCTCATTCGGAATGCGTTCATTTTAAAAATGGCAAAAAAATGCTTTGCACGTGTCATCCACACAATTTTGTGGCGTGCTTCAAACGGTTAAATTTCCATATTTTTACCACAATTTTCGATTATTAATTTCATATTTCAAACGCAATTTACGTCGTGTAATTTTGTATTGGCACAGGGATTATTCAAAGTTTTGAACAAGACGTTTGAGATCGACTCAAACACGTGTCACACAATGTCTTTCTTTCTGCCATTCACACATCAATAATTTTACTGATAATAACAGCAATTGCAAAAGGCGTGTTGAAAAACATCACAAATCTTTCGCGTGTCGACACAATACCGAATTGTTAACAAACCATATAAAAGGTTTTTTGCAAACCATTCCCAAAACATGCATTAATTTTCAATCAAATCAATCCATTATTCATGTCTGGGGGGCGGATATCTTGTGTGTACAATTTATGCCAAAGATTTGTTGCCGTTTTGTGTTGTTTTGAAGGATTTCCTTTATTCAGTGTTGGATTTGTTTCGAAAAGTGTCAGCAAGAAATGTTAAAATTGATTGAAAAGGAGAAAGCGGTGGAGAATGTATTCGGAATCGAAAACGTTCTAGGTACGAACAATGCGATCTTGAAATTTATATGACCAGAGGAAATTGAGTAACTTTATGAAATTGAAATGTGACAACTCTGGTTTGCGGAAGTTCATTCAAATTAAATGAATGGCAAATAAATCAGATTTTATGAAATTAACCCTCCAGCCATGCATAACAACATGTACATTCTCATTTCAGACAGTTGAAATCCAGAAAATACATATAAATGAAATTATTTTGCGGTCGGTACAACCATTTCAACTCCTTTCATTCGAATATATTATTAATTTACATAATGAACAGATAAATTTTTAATTTTTTTTCAGATGAGAACCGGTTCAAATAGATAATATGTAGCCAAATCGTTTAATTGAAAAAAATTGACGGAGAAAATGCTTTGATATGATTGTGTAGTGAACTGTACTCGGTGATGCTGTCATGTATTGTGCATGTGTATTTGACGTATGATGGAATAACTGTTTTAAACTGCAGATGATACATAATTTTCAACAGTAAAGATAATTTAAAAAAGCTTCCATTTCATTTGAAAATTACATATACTTGGGGAAATAATTGCGATTATTATCTATCGAAAGAGTACCGTTTGTGACAAACAATTTCTCTTTAACTTTGCCACAAATGACACTGAAACAAATGAGAAAATATTTCATTTATTTGTTCATCCGTCATTGCATCCATATGAGTGAACTAAATGTGTGTATGCGCCCGATGTGTGTATACTTTCATCACATCAAATAAATGTTCAAATGAAAAAAAGAGAGATACATACGTGGGCAAGGTTTACCGAATCTAGTACACCCTAAAATGATTTTTGGCGATCCCAATTGAAATTGTAATATGGTAATCAATTTTGCTCTTCAATATTTTATTTTTATTATTGTATTCGAAAATACCTTCCCACGAATGGTGCACCTTAATTTCAAAAAATGAATTTCCCATTTCTGACCTAACCTGGTTGATACTTCTTTCAAACGATGGACAAATTCCTCGTCCTCTTCCGTTTCATTGTCCATGTTTGTGATCATTTGTAGCTCTGGATCGCTCAACACCGATATATTGGTCAAATCATTTTTTAATTGTAGAACGATATTCCGCAAATTTACACATCTGCCGTGGATCGTACTATCCGTCATATCGCCTGAGCTTCGGCTGGTTTTAACGATGTATTTTGCTGGCTAAATTTGATGGAATTTCCGTGAAAATACATACCAAATCCATTTTTTTTGCATGCCGTTTTGATGCACCCCAATACGCCCATTCGTATGTGGCAATGTGTTGGCGATTTTCGTAAACGGGATCAAACAATGCGATGTGTTGACAGGTAAATGAAAGTGGAAAAAAGAAGAAAAAATCAAAATATTAGAATTGATGTTATTCGGTTCCCAGAATTGAATTCAGAAAAATATTTTTGGCACATTGAAATGAAATGGTTTTCTTGTTGATTTTTTTTATTGATTATTATACAATACGACGAATGGCATTCAACGAATTGCTTTTTTGCGAATGGCAATTCGTCTATGCACAATTAAAAACAAATTGCTTTTTTTTAAATCGTTTAACATCGATGGTACAACAATATCAACATTACAAACGTCGAATAAAGACAGAGAGAGATGGGGGAAAGTTGGAAAGAGCGCAATATTCAAGCAAAGAACTTGATTATGCTCACCGATTGTTTTCTTCAAAAGTAAAAATAGAAACGCTTTTCTTCTTTCGCTTTTCTTCGCTGATTAAATAATGGATTCTTCTGAATACTATATTATCCGCTGTTTGTATAGAATTATTGCTATAATGCTTATGAGAGTCGAAGTAAGATACCGTATATAAATAATATAATTAAAGTAGTTTTATTAATTAACAGAATAAGAAGATATTTTCATTTTTGGTAAGTGAACTGTACGTAAGTTCATGTATGATAAAAATAAAAGCAGTCGTTTCATGTATTTTAATGAAAGCGTGTCTCTTTCAACCATGTAAACTGATATGATGTTTTGAAATCATTTATTTACACTTTCATTAGGAATATGCGTTGTAGAATAAAATATTATGTTGTTTCGTCGTCGTCATCGTCAATAAAGTACTCATACAATAGCTCGTTTTCATCCTCAATCCAGTGGTGGCCAAAGGGCTCGTGTATATGGCACATGGTGCCATCAACATTTTGCATTGTTTTATAAAGCCAAATATTATTTGCATTTTTTATCATCTCAGTTCGCCATCATCAAATCACATGACATCCATATTGATTTGCAAGAGAGTCAAACCACCCGGTTTGCCATTCAATTTTTGTGGCCTTCATCGAACTATCGGAATAAATACATATTCGGTTTGGAATTTGTAGTAAAATTGTAACATGCGATATGTTCGGCAAATAGTGATAGTATTTATCATCGAGTAGTATTATAAAATTTAGCTCTCACTGCCAAGCTATATTCATGAAATTTTGTGGAGCATATCTAGCGAAAAAGATGATTTGTGCATGTGTGCATGAATAGAATTATCAATTTTCATTTTGACCGATCTTTCGCCAAAAAAATGACAAGCACCAAACTTGATGCACGATAACTACATTCAGTCTGATATATGCATTGCCATGACAGACAGAGAGAGAGAGAGAGAGAGAGAGCGATGGAAAGAGAAAAAATTGCGTTAAAAAAGTGGTGACGAGAATCGGGGCGGAATCATAAATAAATAAATTTGAAAATATATTTTTTTCGGTACTGTTGGATATAGCCCAGTTTGCAAATGGAAAGAGCAGTTCATTGAAAATTCTCATTGGAATTGAAAAATAGCAAAAGTGTACGGAATTTATTCCAGTCAAATTTTGAGTTCGGTGTCTGTTTGATGTGTTCCCATTCTTTGCCATCCAGTCGCATTTGCAAACTGTAAATTGAGTCCCTTACGTGCATTGTTACGAATAATTAATGCACCTTTTTTTCGTTGACATTGGATGTGGGTGAGTGTGTTTCGTGTTGCTAACTAAATACAAAAATGGATTTGCAAAATAAAATGCGAGCAGCAGAGCGTAAATGAACACTACCATAATTGAAATTGTAACAAGTGTCAATATTTGACGCAAGTTTAATATCCAGACACAGTAATGTCACACTCATTTTTTTGTTGTTCGGTTTATGGCGAGAGAAAGAAAAAAAGAAGAATGGTTGCTGTGTTTTCCATCGCATTAGAATACGATACTATAACGAAAATTCAAGATTCGCATGATTTTGAATGCAAAGCAAAAGCTGTTAAATATAGAAATAGCAGTCAATGTACCAAATGACTACACTTAATCGAATATTCATATTCCGATCATGTTCAGCTGCACATCTAGACTCGACACATTTGAATTAAGGTAGATTTCTGTTTCCACTTATAAAACAAATTCTATGCATGCAAAATGGAATGTAAATACCAAACAAAAAGAACTATAAATGATTGAAAGAGATCACGATGGCATTGTTTAAACTTTTGAAAACAAAGTTAACGTGTGTGTGTGTGTGTGTGTGTGTGTGTGTGTGTGTGTGTGTGTGTCGATAACAGACGAAAATAAAGTTCGAAAACTCCATTAATCGAAATTGAATGAACAATAATTCAAAAATTTTGAGACGGAATCTTCGTGTTATTTCATAACATTCAACGTCCAAACAAACTTGACTTAAAGAATCATATGCTCAAAACTTTGCATTGTTGATTTAGCTCATCTTAATTTATTTACGTAGATTGAATTAACTTTCCGCCAAAACCAATTTAACCCTTTAGCATTTCTATTTTTCATGGCAATGCCAATTTTTGCTTTGAATATCCCGCGTGGAAAAAAAGTGACTGACTAGCTGAAATCAACTGAAAATAAATTTTGTTAACTAAAACCCAGTTGACTTTAGTCGTCTATTTTTCTGATTTTAAACAGACGATTATTTCGGTTATTGCCAACTGTGTTATTAAAGTTGAGTTATATTTTTCTCAACTGGAATCGACTGCAAAATCAAACAAGTCAACTTTAAATTACTTCAATCTCAGTTGGCTTAAGCCAAGTCAGTCAGTAATTTTTCAACCGGGATATAATTCAAAAATGTTCTAAAATAATCCGAAAAAACTTTGTTTCACGCTTAATGTCACATAAAAAAATGAATCGCGTTCTTTAGTAGCCCTCCGACCGAGCTCCGACGCCGACCGACCGCCGACTCCGACCGAACCCAAGTTGCTCGGAGAATGGTCGGCGTCGGAATGATTTCGCCATCCGAGTTTTTTCCGAGTTCGCGATTTTTTGAAAAATTCAATGGATTTTTTATCAATTGTCATTTTTTTCTCATTTCTATCTCATTTTGTATTCAATTTTGTTCGATTTTCGAGCATCGAAAAAAGATGGTCGACGTACGGTCGGTATCGGATTTAATAATCTCGGCGTCGGTCGGCGTCGGATTTGATAGTCTCGGCTTCAGTCGGCTTTGGAGTTGAAAAATCGCCTCCGTTGCGAACTCTGTTAAATAAAGTTGGAGTGAATTTCATGAATGAGAGCAAGAGAAAGAGACATCGAGTGAGATAGAGATACTAATGTTTACCGGTGTTGTGATGCTTTTTTTGTTGTTCGCTAGAACTGACAAACTCTTGAAAAAGTGCTTGGCTCTGATATTTTCAATATTTGGAGGACACCTTGTTTGATACACACACATATACCACAACATAGGCATTAACATTGACATAGAGAAAAAAGAAGTGCACCAATATATAGCAAAAATGTGCTCTCGCGCTGAGTTCGTATCAAAAGAGACCACAAACCATTTTGGGCTCAGGCAGCCGTTGCAAATCAGCACAATTCAAATGTTTATATGATTTATGCGAGTAACTTCATTTCCGACATTTCAATGCAGCGCTCCATGCACAACCATTGTTTGGCCAGTTCACAACAACAACCACGAATGAAAACGACAACCACGAAAAATTATGGTTGCATGCAGTGAGAAAGTAAGATAGGAAAAGTTTCAGGCTCGATCGACTCGGCAAGAAAAATCAACGAAACCACAGACGACTGCAAGTAGTGCACGGAAATCGAAATATACCAAACATGTAAACAGAGAGAGAAAGAGAGAGAGAAAAAAAAATAAATGAAACTTTTTCCATTTTGTCAATGTTCAACGTCAAGCTTTAGGCGTTCTGAAAGTTTGCTGCTTTTTATTCGTCAGAAGAGATGCTTTACATTTTCTGCCGTTCTATAGTGCACATTTTCCGAACAATTTGGCTGAAATGTGTATATATCGAAATAATATGAACACATAAAACTTTTGACACTCGATGCTCAATAGAATGAAACGACTAACAGCCAACAGTGTTTTTTTTTTCTGGTATCATTTTCATTTTTGACGCGGTTTGTGTAAATGATTTATTTCCAAGAAAATTAAATCGATTAAAAGTTTCAATTCGTAACTGTATTTAAATATACATATGGATTTGAGTTACGATTTTATTATTTTATGACACACTGATGCTGTTGCAGCACAGCATAGAATTTTTTCAAAAACTAAAGCTGCTTAATAAAATCATCGTATCAAATACAAAGTGCGCATTTGATGCCCATCTTTGTTCAACAATCCAGTTAAGTGCAGACATTCTTCAAATTCAAGCGTTGTACAAGTGATGATATAAGTTACATTGGAATACATTTCTGTTGTTAATCTGTAGATGGTTTTCATTCAGAATTGTCAGAAGTCAAACATAACGAAAGTTTGAAATATATTATTGATTTATTGAACATCCTCCTTTGTGATTGGTGTCAACTACTTTGAAAGTGTTTGCAATCATATCATGAAATGGAGCAAACACTTTTATGATGTCACTAGAATGATAGATTTGAATTAATCTTCTCATTGTGATTATTCTCCCATTTGCTTCTATTTTTTTATTTTTTTTTACGTTAAAAATGTCGTGCGCTTCAAAGTAGATTCGACGCTAATAGCATGAAACTATCACGAAAATGAGGTATACTTACATCAATCCATTTTTCGCCCTCGAATACGGCAACCAATTCAGTGTCTCCATCAAGCGTTTGAAAGTAGTCTTCATCGTCGACCTCAGTGCCGTCTGCATCCAAATGAATTTTGGGTAAATCCGAGTGATTATACCGTTTGGCCGCCTTCTTTTTCACATCTTCCAATGATATGGCAGAAATACCTTTACATTCATCGCGTGATACGTTCCGAACCTATTACAAATGAAAAACCATACGAAACAATTTGCAATTAACATGAAGCATTTGAGTGTCCAGACCATTTTTTTTATAGACTGACGACATTTGAATCGTATCATTAATATTACTGCTTTTGTAAATTTCATGAAAATTTCTGTGTAATTAATCCGGCTTTTTTTAATTCAATAATGTTCATCTACATCTACCAAATGTGGATCTCGACTCTCTCGACATTTGCGGCTTTTTGTTAATTTCGATTCAAAATTTGTACGTTTGTAAAATGTATATGCATTGCACATGACCGACAAGTGAACACATGAACTCCGGCTTACCGCAAAGTGTCACCACATTTCGCTTCATCAGCTTCGAAAAATGTCTGGAAAATCGACAAATTCATGTGCAATCATACAAGCAATCTTTTTCGTGAAATTATAAAATGGTGTGGCGTTTATTGAAAAGGGGGTATATGTCAATATTTCGTCCATCAACGTTTGAAAGCGTACAAATTGATTTCTCACCACACACTTAAGTATGCGTGCCAAAATGAATTTATCATTTGCATCGAAAATTGTGTTTGACCGATTCTAACAAATACTCCTCTCTCTACCTTTCTTTCTGTTTTACAGCTCATCCAATATCATGATAATAATAACATTGAACATCGCCTAAATGCTCTTGATATTGAAAGTTTTCACGACCTATTTCAATGTACGCAAATATTTTGCCAAATATCGCATTGACTAGAACGGATTTAGAATGGAAGAATTTACATTTTAATTCAAAAGAAAAATAATCAACCGAACATTTTGATAACAATAGATTTACGATTGCTGACCATATCCTCATTGATTCCATTGTTTATGCACCCCAAACTGCTAAGATATATACACAAAAAACTACTTGACAAAATTCCGTACCAACTGAACAATGTTATTACAATGTTATTTAGTTTTCTTTTTTCTCAAAATGAAGATAAAAATATTAGAGAGTTGAACGTAACTAATCTATGTATATAGCCTTTTGCATACATATTTGAACATTTATTTCGCTCGCAATATACTAAGTATTTAAGATGCATATAATCCACATGGCGCATATAAAAAAAAACAGAAAAAAGATAGCGTGACAACTGAAAACCGATCTGTATCTCTGTGCTCTGTGTATTGAGTTATAGTCTCAGTTCTACTACATTCACGCAACCCTTTGTAAACAATACACCATTGCTTCTAAAGATCTCTTGATGCTTCTTGGTGATCGCTTGTTAAAGTGTGAAAGATTTTATAAATGTGTTAGAAGGACAATGACAAACCGAACATTGAACTAAGTAAGGCGACTTTATTGTCGTTTATCTTTGTGCCTTCTGTTTCTTTGTCCTAACTGTGTATGCGCGCTGAAAACGAGCGTATTGCGCATTTATACTTCGTTGCTCAAACGTGTTTCAATTTTAGATGTGTCGCACCAATTCACCGACAACAAAAACTTTAAAACAATTTATCCGAACATTTTATAAAATCAAATGTTCTCATAGAGATTTTTTCAATGCTTCCGTAATTGTACAATCAGAACAAAAAAAATTATTTCCATTATAAACTCGTAAATCATATGAAAAATATTGCGTAGCAGTTTTTTTTTTTCAAGTCGTTTTCGTGTGTGTTAAGCACTAAATTTCCCAAAAAAAGTGAAAAACTTATTTTCTACGAAGCGGAAACGAATCGTATGGTCTTGGTCCTTTATCCCGTAAATCGGCACAAATTTATTCGATTCAATTAATATTAACCAAGAATTTACACAACCAAAATGCAGAGAGCCTATTTTGGCAAAAATACTGATGACCAGCATTATGTTGAAGAAAATGGTATTTTTACCAAACAGTCCAAATGATGTTTTTACACATTTTAGTTTGACGAACTTTTTTGTCTGGTTTTTGTGTTGAAAAGAGCGGAAAACAAAAAAAAAATTGGCAAATAGATTCGTAACTCAATATCTGCAAAAAAATATGCTTGAATAAATTAGATGATTCCAGGGATAAAATGCAAAGCCAATAACTAATCGCTATTCTTTCAAGATTTTGAAAAGCAAATCATTAATGCATGAATAATTTAAAGTATTTCTGTTTTAGATCCATTCCAGATCCATTGAATTTCTGTAGAGAGCGTAATCGAATGGATAATTGAATCAATCGGTCAATTCAAATTACCTTATTAACCCTCTAGTGCATAGCCCTGCCTTTAGGCATGGTGTACAAATTATTGTCTAAAATATATAATTTAAAAAAAAGATTTTATTTATGAATTAAAATACATTCAGTAGGGTTCAGGCTTTCATTTTCCGGTCATTTGACAACTGGATGTAAATCGGTTGTTTAATTATAAACACGGCTGTACTCGAAAACAGAAATTTGACAAAAAAAATATCATTTTCTTTGTTTATAGCAGTTTTACTGCAGTTTAAACAATGGTTTTGATTGTTCTCGAATTTTGTCAATAGCATTTTTTGAGAAAACCATGCGATTTTTTGAATTTCGATTATTTTTTTAAGGAATTATAAACCAAAACAATCATAGAAAAATAAGTCTCATGTCGAAAAAAAATTAATGCATTAGAGGGTTAAAAGTGGAACTTTATTTACTTCAAACTAGGACCCACTTTTTTTTATTAAATCATATTCAGCAAAAAAAAAAATTGAAGAGAAAAATTATAGCGGAAAAATGTATGTTTCTTTAGAAAACCGGATTTAAAGTATTCCATATAATAATCCATTGTGTCTGTTACATACACAGTACTTTATACATCATTCTACTTTCTTATATTGAATGCAATATAACGCACGGAGAAAAGCTTGGAGCATTTTCATTGCATGACAAACTAACAGAAGTGATGAGAATACCAGAACCGACTGATTTAAGAGAGTCTGGCAAATGATTCGTGCAATCGATATGTGAGTCGTTACGAAGTGCCTAAATCGTTGGATGCAATTTTTTCTCCGGTCGGTTTTTTTTTGTATGCGCTAGATATGGTTGTCTGACGATAGATGAGGTGCTCAGTGTATTTTTTCTTTCTTTCTTGATTGGTGTGTGCTACACATCGTACAAAAGACAAAGGATCCAACGCCCAATAATGAGTTAATTGCAATCTACTTCCATTTTACATTTTAATCGAATTTTAGATGCCACACATAAATAGTTAAATCCACGTTTAGAAAATTACAATCTCGTTTTCGTCGTCATCGTCACTGATACAATAAGATTTCAAAGGATAATTGAATCAGTATATTTTACAAAACTCTCAAAAGACATACAGTCTGTATATGCCGGTGCATTTTAATTCAGTTATCATTTAAATGAATTTGCATGCACAAATTTTATTCGGAGGAAATTTAAGAGAAACACAAAATGACCATTTTGATGATGAAAATATGTTGCAAAACTGTTGTTGTATATATATTTCTCGTGTGCCGCGTGTGAATTTGATCTAGTGAGTTGCAACACGAGTAATGTGTGTGTGTGTGTATTTCTTCAAAATATATTGAGTTGTGTGTTGTCGCACGTGAACAACGCGATAACCGACTGAAAGACACATACACACACACAAAATGAATTCAACAGAAACATAACATTCCAATGTAATCAAATTGTACTGTATTGGTATGTGCAATGTCGCTTCATGGTTAATGAAGTGGCGGTGGCTGGCTTGCAGAGATATCACACAATGCAAGTGACAATTTGAATTACAATCAATCTTTGTTGTTGTTATTTTATATCTATATTGACTTACCTTATAAGGTTTCGAGATTCCATCGGTCTCTTCCAATTCTATTTCTTTTTCCGCCAATCCATCTCTCTCTTGGGCTTGTTCATCCATTTTAATCTCCGACATTCGGTTGTCTTTACTATTGATGTGTTTTGATTTAAAAAAAAGTATCACCGAAAAATAAATTTATCTCCCGTATATTCACCGAAACGCGAAATTCTTTTGGTGTGGCAGACACACAGTTACAAATATGACAAAATCGACCACTCGTTAACTCTCGACGAACAAGACTGAGAAAATTTTTTTAACAACACCACCCAAAAACCGTTTGTTTTGAGAACAAAGTTGTGTGCCGCACAATACAAAATAGAGCAAACCGATTTTATGGCTTTAGCGAGAGAGAGATAGACAGAGAGAGAGAGAAAAAAAACCCAACAATTTATTTAAAAAAATGTTGGTTATGGTTTTTTTTTATTTTTCACTTGATTTCAACAAATGAAGAATAACCACTTTTATTTATTATTTGGTTTGTGTTTTTGTCAATTCTGACAGCAACGACACTTTTTATCACGAAAACGAATCAATTTCACTGTGAACAACGATGTGTGACAGCATCGAAACTTTGCACATCCAATCGGTTTGCTGTTTGCGTTTACAATGAAACATTGTGCCGTTTATGCCAAAAAAGGAGCGTGCAATATACGATACACATATCAATTCTGGCGGCAGCAGTCGTATTCAGTATAAGCATGAATGCTGTGCTTTTACAAACATACACACACCCAGTTACATACACACTAGATTCGATATTGTGCTAGTGTATGTTCATTTTGATATGGATGTCTCCCGACGCGCATTCAACACACTACCATACTGCTCAGTCTCTTTCTCTTTCGCTCAATTCAAGTTTCTCGCTCACATATTCTTGTTGTCTGTCTCATGGTGTAAATATATTCACTGCAGTGCTCCAGTTTGGCGATTGTATGCGTGCGGTTCAAAATTTACGATTGTGTGTATTAATGTTGCTTTAAACGAATTCTCGCGTTGGTCGTTTTATCTACGTTCACGATAATTTTCGATGCAAAATTACTGCGAATTGAACAGTCTGTCACAAGCGTATAAGAATACGGCATATTCAATGATGATAACGCACAATGCACATGCATCATATGCTAATGTTCAAACCCAAAATATTATTAACGTTTGCCGGTTTTTTTCGCTGTTGATTCTGGAGCGATGGAAATATATGCAAACGTGGGATTGTTTTGAAAAACAACCGAATGTGGGAGAAAGAACGAATGACCGGGTGATAGATAGTGTGCGAAACAGAGCAATATCAACGAACACTATGATAGAACATCAAATTGGTGGACAAACAACAACAGAAGACGACGACGATGATGGGCATTAAAAGCAAAGCCGTGTCGATGACCATTGTGCATTTTCTGTCTGTTAAAATTACAAATTCAACACAATTTTTGTCTCTGTCTCTTGCAGAGAATGTGTTTGTTTGTACATTGACGATAATATATCCCAATAGCCGATAGGCCAAACACCGTCTAGACGATGGATGCGACGCTTTTGAAATCCTTGAGCCAGAGTTGAATGAAATATCATCATCATCATCAATTCTGCGGCTGGCTCTTGGAATTATTTATTTTGGATTATGTGTGTACCTTTCTTTTTCGCGCGCAACCGAGAAAATGTTTATATGCTTGTGTTGAACGCGTACACGATAATACATTGAAGATTTTAAGGTGTGCATGATGAAATGTAAAAACATCGCGCATATTGCTGCTGGTAATCACCAAAAACACCTTTGAGCATCGTTTGGTGTTAATCTTTGATTTGGAATTCACTCTTATTTTGTTTCACTTAGCAACATACTCTGCTTTATTTGTGCTAAAGAACATTTATGAGATTTGGGTTCAGTGTGGCTACATATCTCGCTCGAAGCTTGTTTGCTGTGTTTTTCTCTCTCTCTCTCTCTCCCTCTTCATCTCTCTGTGTGTATGTGTGTCTCACTTGCATTGTGAATCCCCAAATGCAACACACCCACTTTATGTTTGAATTTTCAAATGCGTCTGGTGTACAAAGTGTAATGCACATGTCAACACAAACCGAGACCTTTGTAAATTGGGTCAAACTTCTAAAAATAGAGACACAACTCATACATATAGTCGCACTATGTATTTGTGTGGTATATGTGTATTTTTTATGATGATGTAGATGGTGATGGTGGTATTAATGTTGCTGTTGGTGCTACGAAAAGGATGCTATTCTGTGGTTTCTTTATACCATTGGGGCGCACACAAAACACGAGCGATATCATTCATGCCATTTAAAATGGCCAATGATTTTACAACATTGACACGAACACCGTTAACCAAATACATAACATAATCGTTCCAATTTTTCTTTACACGAACCACGTCATGATGTTGTGCATGCGATGAATTTGTCTCGCCAAATTTGGACGATTTTTAAAAAAAATTAATCGTTTTATTTGTCATATCTATCTTTCTTAGAGCATGTTTTTTTCTTCTGCCTCAACACTTTTTTTCTCAAATTCGTTCTTTTGTGCAACACTCAAACCGCTCCACTGGACAGAAAAACTATACATTGAAAGTACACATTTTGACGAATTAGACATGAAAAAAAGAAACAAGTAGTTGTTACGCAGCAGTTTGTTCGCTATATTCTTATTCTATTCAACTCATCGACAATTTGCCTGCGAATATGCATATTGCATACACATATAATGTGCATCCCTCGCAACTTACGAAAGCTTTTCATTCAAGAACAGTATATATATGTGTGTGTGTGCTTGTGAGAGACGAAGACGTGATACGACACGATTATCATTATCAGAGAATTATTTGAATGAACTTCGCTGTGTGACTAAGTGTGTCGCTTGATTTTGTGATGTGTATCATTCGCACAAGTCTTTGCAAAACGTCCTCAAGTAGGTTAAAGCACCCGATGATGCTGATGACGTCTTCGCTGTAATCGATTCACATCATATAACCGTGTATATTATATCAAAAGTCAACTAATAACCGTGTAATGTTAAATCATGTTTTTTCACTTTTTTGCTTGTTCCATTTCTCTCCCCCTCCCTCATCTCTCTGTATGCATTCCTTTTTGTTGCGGTGCAAAACCATACGATGGGTGCCAAAGTTTTGTGTGCCTCTTCAATGTTAACTTTTAATGAGGTAAAGACCATTGACTCAGTTTGATTGTATAAACTTTATTCATCATCATAACATCCTTTTCAAACAATCCATTTTTCATACTTCTCTCAATAAATACATGCACAAAAAACATTGATTTAAAAAAAAAATGTCTGAAAAACCTTTTTTCCATCTCTTTGTTTTTATTGTTCGTTTTAGACATATTTTTCGCATTATAATCGATCACTTTTTTACGTATTTATTAAATCCATTAAAATCCATAATATCGCCAGGATAATTATTATTAGCTGTGTTGATGTGAATAATTGCATGTTCGCGCGTTCAAGCGTTCAAAAAGATGTCTTGATTTTATAATTGATTTATTTCGAAAGTATGCAATGTTGCACGATATAAAATAAAGAAATAATTGTAAATATTGGGTATTTATTTATATCAATAACTTTGTGATATCAGATTTTAATTTAATCTATGATTAAAATTTTTGCACCAAAAACCAATGAAATACTCATAAAAATCGGAAAATGTTTATTAAAAAGTAAACAGAAAAAGTAAACAATTGAGAAAACAATGAAAAATACTTATCGAAATAAACATTATCCGGGTGGCATAATCTTCGTTTTTGGTCGTCGATTTTGCCCAGAAGTTTGTATTAAATAAAATGAAGTCTTGAAAATTAGCCCCCTAGAAACCCGATCTCGCATACTACTGGCAAAGTGTACAATACTTGATAGGTATCACTTAAATCATATGTATACGGCTCATACAAAAATTGGTACAGTGCCGTCAGAAAATTTGAGACCAAGCTCATTTTTTTCATACAATTTCATACAAATTGACGATTTTTTGGAGCAATATTTAATATATTTCGGAAATAGCTAGACCCATAATTTTTTGTACACTTATTATTTTATTTACGGATTTACATTTTGTATGAAAAATAATCCTTTTCCACACTTGAAAGTTCAAACATCGGATATTTTTTAAACGCGTAGATATTTTTTGGTAAAACTTCACTAGTTTACTCTCCGTAAATAGAACAATAAGTCTGCAAAAAATTATGAGTCTAGCTCTCTCTGAAATATATTAAATATTGCTCCAAAAAATCGTCAATTTGTATGAAATTGTATGACATTTTTTTGCTTGGTCTCAAACTTTCTGACGGCACTGTATATAAACTTTAAAGAAATATTCAAACTGAATCGAATTTAAAATGAACATTAAACAGGCCCTTTGCAAAACGAAGCAATTAAAAATAATAATCGCTGACTCAATGTAAAATTCTATTTGATCTGTACAAATTGGAAAACCTTTTCAAACGTAAATTGATTTTAAAATTAAAATTAACCCATCATACTTGCCAATGCCATCACAACGCTGTAAATTCTCTTTGACATCTAGAAAATAATGTACATTGAGAAACGTTTTAGGTTTCGTGGGATAAAATAATTATTTACATCTGAGAATGTTTGAAAGCTTAGCACGCCAAATGGGCCAATGCTGAGAACAGCACCATTTTGCAAACGATTAAGGAGATGACCATAAAATATTTGGTTTTTCAGCGACATCATATACCAAGACATGCCGTAGAATTTTCGTAACAAGTGTTCGTTCTAGAAGAAATTGAAAATGTTTAATCCAATCTGTTGATGAGAATAAAAAAAAATCAAAGAGTATTTTTTGCTGCCCAGCTCACAGTCACACACACACAAACATAAGCAACAAATTTTAATACAAGACAAAAAACGGATGTGCCTAGAATTTGCATATTATTTTATATTGTCTTCTGTACGAATCTCTTCGATCTTATGTCAACATATACAATGCATTTACTCATAGCTGCACAGAAGTGCCTAGTGAAAGTCCGCATTCAGAGAGAATACCAAACATTGCAAATACGTGAGTTGTGCTTGTTGTTGAGTTGTGAGACAGCAAGCGATGCGCACCCAGCGAAAAACACTCTCTCGAAAAAATAGTATTACAGCAATAGTGACTTCATTTCCAATATCACAAAGTATAAACATTTGTGAATAGATAAGAAATGCAGCACCAAGAGCAGGTGCCCATTCAACCTATTTAATATGAAGAAAATCCATTGTAAATGATTATTATACAATTATTTTGATAGTAATGTGATTGTATTAACTTACAAAAAAATATAAAAATAGAGCGAACGCCGTTGAAAAATTGCAAACAATTGGTTGGATGAAAAATTTCCAGTAATAAAATTTAGACAGTTGAAGGGTGAAACTACAATGCATTGTAAGTTGATTATTTACATAAAAAAATTAATTAGTCAAAACAGAAACCTAAAAATTAAATAAAAATTAACGACAATTGGTTCGATTTCGATATAGACCATAACATAAATGTCGACCTAGCCTATTATAAACAATGTTTTTGTATACAAGGGACAGTGTAAATATTCTGTCGCTGAGCGCGGGTCTCTTTAAACTAGTTTAAATATTTTATAAAAGTTGATTTTGACTAAATAAACGAACGCTTTCAATATCATAGTTACATAGTACTTATAATAAAACAAAATTTCGTGTTTTAAATCAAAGAAAAATTCTTACCGATCAAGATCTTGCACTTGAACTAAAATATTTCGAAATTTCAAGTCTGTCTCCCTATTCACTCCCAAACTTTTGATCTCTTCAGAAAATTCGTCAACTGAATGGCATATTGCAACGGTGCATGCCCAGAAATTATTCTTAAACATGCATGTTATAATTTCTACTCCAATATTTCCAGAAAAACCAACCAAAGACGCAAAGACTTGATTAATAAGATTTAATAAAAATCCACTTTGTGTTTCATCATCGGTGAATGGAAGTAGAACAGGCATTGGCAATTGCATTTCATGTTGAAGCGTAATTTCGAATACACATCCCCCCATATATACATTCAATGATCCAACAATAATTACCAGTGTTATTAGCGTATCTCACAGTAGTTTGATTGCACTTTGATCACATACTTTAATATAACTTGGAGTGGAATTTTGAAAATCCGTATAAATTTTATCTTCAGCAAAGAAAGCTAAGCTTTGATATATTTTTCCACGATACAGTATCAAAGAATAGGGAACAATAGACTTTATTTTCATTAGATATATCAAATCAGTTAGTTTGGTTGAATGTATTTTTTTTCAGATTCTGTTCGAACTTACCGGAATGAGTACACCAACATATAGCGGAATATTTAATAATCCTTTTGCTGGATTATACCAGAAGGTGTAAATCAATGAAATTGTCAGATCAATAATAACAGCTGCAGCCGCATAAGAATACCAATAAACTTTAAAATTTGGATCAATAATGGGGACGCCAGTTGACTTTAAAACAAATATTCCAGCGTTTCGAACAAAAAGCCATTTCCCAAGTGGGCTTCGATCCAAGTATTCCTGCTTAAATGATTCAATCTTTGCGAATAATTTCTTGAGTAACATTTTGGATGTTTAAATTGAATTAATTCAATTGCTCAAAGAAATTAATTTAAGATAGGTGTAGAACACGAACTGAAACAAAGTCAATAAATCACTGAATTTTATACGCAAAATGTTTGAAATGTTTGTATATCAGTTTCCATGGCAAGGTTAAGTAGCTTCTTTTGAAGATACTAATTTGGTTCATTATCTGCAACAATTAGTGTTTTAAAAACACTGTTTTTATAAAAGAAAAAAAACTAGGGGGTAGACACAAACTAGCAATGATGTGTGAAAAAAGTGCAATTTCAAAATGTTTTTAATTGACAAACAATTTCATTTTCTTTTAAATTTAAATGGGGTAATTTGGTCTCGCAAAAGGTCTTCACTTTTTCCGAAAAATCCCTAGAAAATCAAAAGATTCCATAACTTCATTGTAATAAGGGATTTTTGATTCAACTCCAAAACAAATTAAAAGAATTGGTCACCCATTTATTAAATGTCTTATGGTTGGACAAAAAGTCGATGTGTCGAAATAAAAAAATGTGTTGATTACGTCTAGTTAAGATATTATTCGTGAAAGTTTGGCAACTGCTTTCTTAAGCAACGGTTGCCTTTTGGCACTTAAATGAAATACTAAATGGAAGTGTCGTTGTCTTCGTTGCTATATTGAAAATATCAAAAGGAGCATATAAAAAATGACAAAAACAATAGGGTTTCTTGTTTAAGAAGAAGCAAAGGTACACACGCAAAGCTGAAGATGGCTGATGGGTGTCTCTGTGTGTTGCCTTTGTCTAATTGAAATATTATTATACGATGGTAGATTCATCACAAAGCAATAATAATGGCAAAATTCATGTTGTGTATGCTATCTGCTTTGTTATGGAACTGTGAAATGAGCAAAGTAACTATGCGGCACGGGTTGACTCCCTGAGGGACCACTTTGCTTGCAATGTTCAAAGTAAAACAAGCGCATTGAATGAGCTTGAGTATGTCTTGATGTTTGTTATTTGAATTTCTCCATCAGATTTTCGATAGATTTTTGTACCAATCCGGTCAAAACCGAATCTCTATCCATTCGTATCAAGCAACCATCTTTGGTTTGATCCGATATTTAGCAAGCATAGTGTTTGCAGAGACTACCTGCGGCTACGATATGCAATCGAATCAGTTGGTGCACCGATGTGAGCAAGCGAAAAACATTTGTACTATCAAACAGTCACGAAAACGGATTTGAATAATCTCTCTCTCTTTTATCCGGTTGGGATGTGCATGCTTTTTGAATATGTAGCAAAAAAAAATTGTCAGTTATGTTTAAGCACCGCGTTGTCGGCATATATTTGTATATTTCTCACTGTTTATTTGGGCGAAAAGCGTTTCAGTGTTTCGATCTCTGTTTGTATCTATTCAATCCATTTTTTCGTCTCCTTACGATTAACTTTGTGTTCTTGAATTTGTTGAGTGCTATTTGAGCGGGTAAAGTGTGTCAGTAGCAATGGTTAGTGCGCTCCAAACAAAAACACGAATGCTTCGGGTATTAGTGTGTGTATGCCTGTGAGGTTGACAGAGAATAGCTAGAATGTTTACCGAAGTTTTCTAACATTCTGGTGGTGCGTTATTTTCTATTACCGCATTTTTTTCTCTCCATGCGATGCATTTGAATGCATCGTAATACATACACCACTTGATCATGCACAATGCATTTGTATGTGCGGTAGCAATCCTCCGTTGTCGCCATCATCTTCAAGCACCGTGTAACAATATATCGGGAATACACATTTTATCACATCGTTGTTAGCAAGACTCAACGATGAGCTGCTTATCACGGAGAAAAAAAAGAGTTTAATGTTCAAGTATACGTACACAGAAGAAGAAGAAGAAAAAGGGAAGAAAACAAAACTGCACCGAATCAACAAAAATATAACTAAATATTTTACGAACATGTGCATCGTTTTTCAATTTAAGCAGAAAGAGAGTAAAAATGCAAGAGAGCCGAGTGAAGCAGAGAGAGAAAGAGAAAAACGAATATTGTCGAATCGTTCTTGACGACAAGAACCAATTACGGAAATGGAATTTACGTTCAGCATTTCTCAGGAAGTTATGGCATTTTACTCTGTTTTCCATGCTGTTTGGCGAAATTAAAAATTGATTGTGCTCTGTCCATTTTTGCCGTGTGGATTTTTTTTGTAACATTAAAGCTTCCATCATGAAACCGTCATGTTGTTGTCAACTGTTGACACATCGAATTTTATCATGACGATTGCACACATAAATTCGATATTAAAAATTGAAAATAAATTTGTTGACATGCAACAACATTTTTGGTATTACTTTCTCTCTTGGACTATCCATTTTCCATTCAGTTTGCATAACGTTGCCATTTGAAACTGAATTATTTCAAAAGTAGATAACAGCACCGTCAATTCGGTGTAATATAATACAAGTATTTGAGTTGAAAAATTTATTTTTTTCCCCGTTAAAATCAGATTCGTTTTATGAAAGTTGAACAACGACATGACATGAATATTCAATGCAACAACAGTTTGAACGAAGTACAATATTCAATGAGTTTAAGCTCTTTTTAAATTAATTATCCACTCAAGAGATAATGTGAGTTTCAAATTCATATAAGCATTTATGCTTTGTACAAATATTCGACAATAAGATTTTCCAAGCGTTTTTCATCGGCGATCATAACGCTTTTTTTTAATTGGATACTGCGCTTCAAAGGAAAATACCCATTTAACTAATGATTGAATGGGTGGTTGTCATCGCGACATGTTCAAGAGACACTTACATTTCGCATTTCGGTTTTATATTCCGAATCAGCACTTGGCTTTGTTCTAAACCAATAAAAATACGAATAAATCTTTTAAAACGACATAAATAATAAATAGTTGAAAAGAAGTGAACGATTTTTACTCATAGAGACAAAGAAAATGTAATAGAATAGCGAAAATTTCTAGGGGAAAGACACATGGACGTACGTCCTCCTACGTAGCTTTAGACTTTTGAATTGAAAATTGCAATGGAATAGAAAATTTAGTAAATGGATTGAAATAGTCGGTAGTGCAGAATTTCATTAAAGCATTGAACCTACAGAGTAATTATATTAAATGTTAATAATCTATTTGCAAACTTCAACTAAATATTTTTGTTAACTAATATAATTAAATAATATTTTTGACAAAATGTTATAATCCAATGTCGATAATAATAAATGAAATATTAATTATTAAATAATTCGACAATCAAATGACGGACTAACGTTTATATAGTGGTTGTAATCGTTTGTGTCTTCCGCCCTAGGAAAAAGTTTTTCTCGTTTGCTTCGACGACAAGAGCCAATTACGGAAATGGAATTTATAGTTCAATAGATTTGAAGAAGTTATGGCATTTTTACTCATTCCACGTTTTTTTACATATTGCAATGTATTAATAAATACATATTGTATAAATTGACAAAATGATTATTTTGAAATAAACACACATGGCATTTACATCAACACATTAATAAATTTTGCTTTATTTTATTTTGAACAATTCCAACATGATTACAAATTTGAAAATAGTATATTTAGCTAGTTGTTTTTTTTTTTTTGTTTCTTTAAAAAGGATTGTTGCGGATGCTACTCTATGGCTGAGGTTCTGTTACTTTTTGTTTGTTTGTTACATTTATCACGTTAGATTGTGTTTGTGTGTGTATTTGTTTATGTATGATGAGTGTGTGTTGTGTATATGATGAGAAAAATAGATCGCGTTTAAGCTAGATTCCATTTATATGGTATTTTATGTGTAGAGCATGTAGATTTGTGCGTATCGGATGAAAATTGCACTGTTTAATAAATTATGTTTTGTTTAGAGAATTTGACAAGAGCTCTTCTCACGGAATGGATTGACTTTTTGGCTGGAGAAACCAACAAGGAGACAATCTTCTTGCTCATGTTCGGTTACATATTTTATGATATCAGCACAGGCCTGTGACACTGGCATCCGTTGAGTATTTGCTTCACGTCGCAATTGCTCAACCATATTGCGTTGTTGCTGCAAATTATTGGCGATTAGGTCCATTACAGCTGTCTCGGAAAGTCCTACATAGAGAGAAATCGAATACAATTGATCAAAATTATTTCTCATTTATTTTCAAAACAATTGCAACATCGACTAACAGATAAACCATTTTCCGGATTATTTTTTTTTTGTTAATTTTTGCACGCAAAATGAAATGTACAGATCGCTTTTTCTATTTCATTTTTCGTGCTTGAAAATAAAGAAAACAAAAATTGAAAATGACACGATAAACAACAAAGCGGTTAGAAAACATCTGAGTATAAATGTTTAGGAAAATGAGGAATTCAAAATTTAGATTATGAAAATGGGTTTTACGTTTTACACATACAGCACAAACAGATACACAACAGATATCATAATTAACAGTTAATCGAATTCTTATTTTTCTTATTCGATCACATCGAAACTACTTGAATAAATATTTTGATTTGGCTTCTTCGCATATTTTCAATCGCCTTTTACAACAGTACAGCTATTTTGAAAATAAAAATAAAAATGGACACACACACAGAATTAGCACTGTTTATCAAAAGGAAGGAAACCAAATGACGAACGAAATGTAGCCAAAACGAAATGCTAGCACTGAGTTTATGAGAAGACATGTTACTTGCTTTTTGTACCTGAAATATGAGTTGAAAACATAAAATATTGATGATTTTTTGAAATTGCTTATGAGATTATTCAAGTGAATCGTTTCGTTTTTCGGTATTTTTTTTTGCTCGTGTCTGTGTAAAAATGGGAAATGGATAAATCGGTTGTTGTTTTATTTTCCTTTTGTTTTCGACAGAATTTCTTTGTTAATAATTTGTATTTAAATGTATGATTGAATTTTTTTTACGAACACACACCCTTTAAATGTTTGAATGATAAATTTATAAAATTCGCTGGCTATTATAAATGACGATGGATTGAAATCGACTTGCTGCAAAAATTCGTCTGCTGAAATTTTATGTGATAATTGATTGGCTCTTGGATGTATATATCACTGACAGAAATGGAGAAAAAACTTCTACACTTGTGATGTATTTTTCTCTCTTTTTTGCGCTACTGAACTTTATTTACTCCGTTTCACTCTAACTTTTCGTTAGTTTTCATTCTACGAATAATGGCGAATCAATTCGTTCGGGCTTGGCTCATGTCATTTACGTATTATTGCTCATTGTCATTTCAATAATACAAATGGTCACGTTCAATACTTATTTGTGACGTTTTTAATGACTCGAATCAAAAACAGAAAAGATACAACGTTTTTTATTATTTATAGTCCATTCCAAAAAAACAGCTCAAAATAACAAAAAGTCCAAATTAAAAAAAATTGAAAAAAAAAAAAAAAAATATCAATTGATTTAACATTTTCATATCGTTCACTTACTCCTCTAGAATAAAACGAATCCATCGTACAATTTGAATTTATATGATTTTCGCTCTCAATGCGATTGACTAAGTTAACAAATATTTGTGGAAACATACACATACACCAAAATAGTGAGGCGTTAGTCATCCAGTAATGGTGTGTAAATCCAATGAATTGTGAATGTGGTAGTGTAAATACACATTTACTCGAACGTTCGGCACCAATGTTACTCACGTTTTAAATTTTAAGGTTATGTTATACAAATTCACTCAAGTAATTCTCTTCCACTGTAGTGATCACAACACACGGTTCAGAATAATAAAGAACAAGAGACTTTGCTGAATCGAAATTTTTTTCATTGTCGACAATCTGTGAATCAAAATGGCATTATCTGTTCCAAAAGCGCCCGGCGTTGCCCAAATGATGAAAGATGGTGCACGCGTAAGTAAAATAAATTAAATTACCGTGAAAAATGAAACGATTTTGGAAAAATTTAAAGCGCAATTCATATGAAATGAAAATGAGTTGTTTGTATGTGTGTATGAGTGAGATGCAATGTGCGGCTCGCAGTAGGCTCGCTCACGTGAATGTGTCACTGAAATGATGTGAAATTGACGAATTTTTCATGTGAACAATTACGGTGGCAATGCCATTAAAATGCATGTAAATGAGAAATAATTGTAATTCCTTTTGAAATTTTCAGATGTTAAGTGGTTTGGAAGAAGCTGTATACAGTAATTTGACGGCATGTAAAGAATTTGCACAAACGGTGCGCACCGCATACGGACCAAATGGCATGAATAAAATGATAATAAATCATTTGGAAAAGCAATTTGTCACATCGGATGCGGGTACGATAATTCGTGAATTGGAAGTTGAACATCCAGCAGCAAAATTACTTGTTTTGGCCAGTCAACAGCAGGAAGCTGAAATCGGTGATGGTACAAATTTTGTGGTCATTTTTGCCGGTGCATTGTTAGAAGGTGCAGAGGAATTGTTACGTTTGGGCGTTACCACAACCGAAATTGCTGACGGTTATGAAAATGCATTGAACAAAGCAACCGAAGAATTGCAATCGCTTGTCATCGGCAACGTTGATAAAGATGATGAAAAAATCAAAGCTGTTATACGAAGCACCGTTCAATCGAAACAATACGGTCAAGAAGATTTCATCACCGACCTCATTTTTAAAGCCTGCCAATCAGTATGGAGCGGCGGAAACACATTCAACGTTGATAATGTTCGTGTGTGTAAAATTGCCGGCAGCAATTTAATGCGATCAGAAGTTGTAAACGGCATGGTGTTCAAGCGTTTTGTTGAGGGTGACATTTCATCGGCGAAAAATGCAAAAATTGCCATTTATTCATGCCCCGTTGATATTCTACAGACGGAAACAAAAGGTACCGTTTTGATAAAAACAGCCAATGAATTGAAAGATTTTAGTCGCGGCGAAGAAAATTTATTGGAGCAACAAATCAAAGCAATTGCCGATAGTGGTGCTAAAGTTGTCGTTGCTGGCGCAAAATTCGGCGATTTGGCATTGCATTATTGCAATAAATTTGGTTTGATGGCCGTGCGATTGAATTCAAAATTCGATTTGCGACGACTGAGTAAAGCTGTCAATGCAACGGTTTTGCCACGTTTATTACCGCCCACAGCCGAGGAACTTGGCTATTGTGATGCCGTATTGGTTGAAGAATTGGGCGATACTGGTCTTGTTGCATTCCGAAATGATGGCAAAGACGGCCGTATTGCAACCATTGTTGTACGCGGTGCTACCGATAATTTCATGGACGATATCGAACGTGCAATCGACGATGGTGTCAACACTTTCAAAGCACTCACCAAGGATGGAAGGTAAAACGATTGTGGATTATTTCATTTGAATTGTCAATCAATTTTTTTTATTCATAAATAACATTTTATTTCACAAACAGATTTGTGCCAGGTGCTGGCTCCGTTGAAATCCAATTGGCAAAGAAATTGTCCGCCTATGCAGATCTTTTACCAGGCCTAGAACAATATTCAGTGCGTAAATTTGCTGCCGCGCTTGAAACATTCCCGAAAGCGTTGGCTGACAATAGCGGTGTCAACGGATCGGATATCATTAATAAATTGTATTCGGATCATAATATGGGCCACTATACGCATGGTGTTGACATTGAATCGCAAGCACCATCTACCATTGATATCACGAAAAATAAGATTTTCGATTTGTACATCACAAAACATTGGGGCCTTCAGTTTGCCGTTGAAGCGGCCGCCACAGTGTTACGGGTGAACCAGATTATAATGGCCAAGAGAGCCGGCGGACCAAAACCGCGACAACCAGGCGCTCAAGATCAAGACGACGATTAATCTTAAACATACTATTTTCTCTTTACGTTTCTATCATTCTTTTCACAATTGCCGCAATTAAGATGGAATTTTTGTTTTCTATTCTTGAATTTTTTTTTGTTTCCGATCAATAAATGCATTTGTTTCATCCATTAAGTTATCAACAAATCTCTCACCAAGACAACGACGACAACAAAAAGAAAACACACACAAACAACTACTTGTCTTCATAGTCATTTTAATCCATAAGCAACAAACAAACAACGTAATTAAAAAAGATGAGAAATATTCGAATTAGAAACAATTACAAACACACCATCAAGAATTATATTGTTCTATCTAAAACTAACCAAAATTAAAATTAAATTTAACACACGCTTTTTAAAGAATCAAATCAAATGTTTGAAAATTAAATGCATTCATAATTTGTTTTTTCTTTGCTGTCGATTTTTTCTTTTCTCACTCACACCAATCGAATGTTTTTTTTTAAATTCATTTTTTTTTCTCTATCAAATAAAGTGAAATTTAATTTCAATCATTTGCTATGGATTCAATCATCCATGCACGAAACATTTGTATTTTGTTTTCTTCAGTCCTGTTGAAAATTAAAAACAAATTCAAGATCAAATAAAACAAAATAAAAAATGAGATAATTTTTTTTTTAATTATATTAAATTGTTGTTTTTCCTTATTTTTTTTCTTTGATAATAATTCAATTTTATTGGCAGAAAATTATTGAATTTCGCATTGAAAGCAAAAGGGTATTTTATAAAACTGTTCAATTGGCTGAACCAACACCAGAGCGCACTACTGAACTATCAAGCAGAAAAAAAAATCAGAAAAAATGACTCATTCGGAATAACCAATTATCGATACTTAATTTGCTTATTATTAAAAAGTTTCTTATGGCATCGATAACAACAAAATGGATAAATGTTGTTGGAACTTCGTGATAACTAGAAATTGTAAACGAAAGAATTAATTAAGTAAAATTGAAAAATATAAATTTTAAAATATACCTACCTCAATTTTCCCACTTATCAAATGTTTTTTTATTGGAATTTTTTTTAAAAATATATCGAAGAATATCAAGTTTTCCAATTTTTAAACAAAATGAAAAAAAAAATAAAACCATTCAGTATGCTTTAATAGTAATTTTTATTTTCTTAATAAATTCAAATACTACACACAATTTACTCTGGCTTATCCCGTAGCTGCACGCACGTAGATTAAAAAAAAAACGATTTCATTAATTGAAAATATATGATTAATGTTTTTGTATTTAAATCTTAAGCCATTTCATTTAAATCTGCCTTAAGACTTCACTAATAGTAGTTTTTTTCAGAAGCTTGAAAGTGCAAAAAAAGTGATGGTATATTCCATTTGCTTGCAATGAAACCCGATGGGAATAAAATATGGGTAAAAAAGTGTGTAGCTAAAGGACGAAATCAACTGGTTCTTTTGACAAAATGGGGATATAGAAAGTAACACGATTGTAATTTTATCGATTTTGTTTGATTTTATTGAATTTGATTCGAATTTTGGTTTATCAATTTTGTTTAATGTGAATTGTTATGTCTCTCAATTTCGATTGGTTATGAAAATCATGAGAATATGTATCAGCACAAAAAAAAGGAGACAGACATAATTGCAATATCTGGGTTGTTATTATGTGTGTGTTTGTGTGTGCATGGGTTTTGTTTGTGTGATTGAGATAATAACAAATGTATATTGATTTTATCATTATTATAATAATTTTTTTTTAAATTGAATTAATAAGACGAATGCTTATCATTTACAAATTGATTATTATTTCACAATTTACTCTGTTCAACACACGCTCGTATTTGTGTGGATGTGTTTTGGGTGTTGTTGTTAATTTTTTTTAAGTAAAAATCTCCCTTCATAACTCTTGTTCTCTCCTTCTCTCTCCGACTGTCGTATGTATATGTATCTTAACATTGAGATAAAACAAAATTGTATGTTTACAATTAGATTATGCAGAAACGCTACAAAAAAGGAAAGAAATCGCTGTTTGAGACTCTACCACACATATGTTTACACAACCCCCCGATCAACCGCGCTCGCTAACTTTATGTCAATTACGACAAAAAGTAACGGTAGAAAAAGCACATGATGCTTCAGATTGCGTAGCGATTTTCATTCATTTCATTTTAAATCTGATCCCTTATTACTGGTCTTAAGAATATTTTACTCATCGTGCTTACGTCTCTCATCCTCTTACTTAAATACGATATTATTTTTAATTGTTGTTGTTGTTGTTTTCATTTAATTATTGTTTTATTTCTCTTAAAGTGGTTGTTTGTTTTCATTTTTTCATTATGCTACTCTGTTTTTTTTTTGCTTCAATCAACTTATTTTCAATTCACATAATCAATATCGAACTTTCAAAATTGATAATCGTTAGCATTTTCATCTTCCTTTCATTTTCTACTTCATTTTCTTTCTTCCTGTTTATTGTTTTCAATGATCGGTGATTGTTGTTTTTTTCCGTTTTCTTTCTCTCAGTCGTTTGTCGGGCGCTTGTTGTTGATAATGGGAGCGCGTACGCCGTCGATTTTATGGGAGTGTATAACAAACGTAGGGCACCTCAACGTCTTCGCCGTCAATGTCATTGCAGCAAATTTCAAAAACGAGCGCACGAACGTGAGGCTCAAGTTTTCGTTTTGAGACTTTTTTTACAACCTCTGACATCGGCATATTCGATCGCTCGGTTAATTTTGCTTTTGGCATAAAGAATGAATAAAGCATAGAAACACCTTGCGACAACATTGTGATCTCCAATCGATGTTGAGTTTTGAAGTAATCAAGAAATTCGGTTAATGTCATTTCGCCAGCAACTTCAAATCGATCCCAGGCGGTCCATTCGATGTCATAGTACTTTTGTTTGGCTGCTTTGATCGGCTCGGAGAATGTCATCAATGGTAATGCCAAATTGAAGAATGAATTCTTAAAGCGATCAACGGACTTGTAGCTACAAACACGATTTAAAATAAAAAATAAAAACAAAGCAACATTTCAATTTTGATATTAAAACATAAAAAAATACATTTGAAAATGGAAACAATTCAATTCGGTATATTTACCCTTGTGCATGTTTATAGACCTCTAAGCATGCTAAACCAGACACAACAGATGTTGCCGTTGCGATTGCCGGTATAATTTTACCAGCAATCAATTTCGATGTATGACGATCAGCGGTTGGAATACTGTAGTTGGTGGCTCGCAGATTCGAGCATGCCACAATGAAATCCATATGCAAATTGTTGTCGTCATCTTTTTCGAATTCTAGTGGTGTAATTGTGAAATCAATTTTGCCTAGATTCTGTAATTGCGAAATGATCGATTGAACACGTGATTCGTCTAAACCTTCGCCATTGTTATGTTCAGCTTGCATTGCTGCGTCCGTAATAGCGATGTTAACACCAGATTTTGGTGTGAATTCGGGCACTTCAACGGTTCCTAATATATCAATAACCGTTTGACGATCACGCACTTGAGTAATTCCATACGATTGAGCCTTTAAATTGGCGGCCGCATACACGTAATCCAAATGCATTGGATCATTTACATCGAAGGTAAGCGGTTTTGGGCAACGTTTTGGACCCGACCAAAATGGTTGGCCAGTTGCTGTTGTCTGTTCCGGTGGGAAATTGAACAACAATTGACTAATTTGATTCGAATACGATTCTTGCCAATAATTTCGTGCCCATTTCACACAATCGAAGAAATCTTTTGGTCTTTCATCGATTAAAGCAACCTAGAAAATTTTACCATTTACATTGAGTTTCGTTCAACTGTTGTGCAACTGTTATCCAATGTTACTTACTTTAACCGTTTCCAAAATCTCAAGTGGCTGAACTCCTGGCAATTTTAAAATACGATCGACAAATGTTGGATCGGAAATGTATTGTGATGCATTTTCAGCATTTTTATTAAATGCACCTTCAAATGCGTCGCGAGCCCATTGCAATGTGTGTTCAATTGCATTTGGGAAGTTTTTCAATGTACAAATCGGAATGCTTTTTTCTGGTGGATCTTGGGTGGCACTATACGATTCGGTGACAAATGGAACGACAACCTAAAAGCAAAAAGCAAAAAACAAAAAAATTATATCCAATTTGATTGGCTTGAATTCCAAACGTTTCCTATCACGGATGACATAAAAACTATCATGCCCGCATACATTTCTCCATTAAATCAATTTGAATTGTCAAATCAAATATAACTGTCTCTCACCTGAACATTTCCCATTGTGCCCAAAGTGCCAGAATCGATGAGCATTCGACGATAGAATACGCAACGTCGATCCATATAAATACGAGCATCCATGTTATCCAATGCGTTGGCAACGCCATCCAATTTTTCGAAAAATTCATCATTGTAAACGTTTTCGGTCTCTTGACCAACTCGATTCTCATGTGCTGTAACATTGATGTCCTTGTTCATTGCACGAATTGCTTTGGCGGCAGTTTGTGCTTTCGATTGTTGTACATTTTGAGGCCGGAACAAGAATTGACGATTGAGATTTGATTTTTCAATGAGGTCCATGTCGGTGATAATGATTTCACCTTTGCTGCCACCACCAATGCCGGCCATTGCGAAATTTTTCAAGTGCTCACAACCGATGGCGCCGGCACCAACAATGAAATATCGCATATTGCCGAGATTCTCTTGAAATTGTTTGCCAAAAACGGCAATTTGTTTATCGTATCGTGAACCAATTGGCTTGCAATCGTCTTCAGTTAAATCATTTTCCGGCAAACATTCGATGGCATCAAAGTACAAATATTGTTGAATCGGTGTAAATTTACCCGAACATGCTTTAAGCACCTCTTGAGCCATCGTACCACCGATGACCGCATTTACTGGACACAATTCACCAGCGCAAATCTTTGCAAATGTCGACAATAATTTTTCATCGACAGTTATATCGGCATTACGTATGGTGGCCAAATTTAAAAATGTTTTAGCATCTTTTTCCGACCATGGGGCAGGTAAACGGCCATTTTGCACCACAAATTCATCCAATGCTTCAAATGCCAAATGCAATTGATCGGGCGTTTCGAATTTTGAAAAATCGGTTATGACATATGAAGGATTCTTTTTCGCTTCGGCCAACGATTTGAACGATAATTGTTTCGGCATTTTCACCTGTGTAACAATTCCACCACGAATATAGGTGCCAAAATTTGCTGTATCGCCAATGCTGAACGTGTATGGACCAAGTACTTTTATTTTAATCGGAGCATGGCCATTCAACTCTGTCATTCCTTCAACCTAGTTGGACGAAACGAATAAAAAAAAGAAATAAATAGAATTGAGTCTGCGTCATCATCATCCATTGTTTGCATGAATTTATTATTAGACAGAAGAGAATGAAACAAGAAAATCAATTGTTTATTACTCTACCACACGAAACCATCGTTCCGTTGTATGTTCAACCATCCAATTTTTTGTTTAGCATATTAATGAATTTTCGAGAAGAAAATAAAACATACAGAAGAATCGATGATAAAAAAAAAAAAAAAATCACACTGAATCTATTAAAACCGAAAGGGAAACCTAACAAACGCATATTAGCACATATGACAAGAAAAATTGCATTATACAGATATTTGCAATGTCATCAAACCAAAATTGTCTTGTTGCACAAATAAAGTTTTGTATGCCATAATAATATGTACGCTTGAATGGTTGAAGTGAATGTGTGAATAACAAAAAAATTGTTTTTCATTCGTTAAAAAAATTGTTATTTTTGGTCTTGTTGTTGTTGTTGTTGAATTGAATAGTTGTTTTGGATGGAGCACTATGGTGTTGAGAAGTGTGAGCGTGAGCGTGTGTGCATTCGCATGTCTAAATTTGGAACGAGTGTCGCAAATCGTGCATATTGTGTTTTCTTTTTATTCTCCCGTTTTGTTGTTTGTGTAGTGTGTATTTGTTTGGTATGTTCTGTGTCATTGCTATCATGAATAGATAGAAAAGAATGATGACGGCGATTTTGACGAAGTGTATAGCAAAAAAAATGGAGAAGAAAAATAACAAAACACTCAATCGCCGTAATGAAAAGATATCCAATGTAAAGTATATGATTTGCGACTGATATAAATTCGGATTTTCAAAGCGCGAGATTAATATCAAACAGCATTAAACAGACACACAGAGAGAGGAATGAGAGTGATGACAAGCTCATCGAGTAACGAGAAAGAAAAATTAAAAGAAACGAAAAAGCAAATACGGAGAACGCGCGCTAGCGGCGGGCAAAAAAAACACACAAAAAACGACAAAATGGCACACACAAAGTAAAGCAATGCGTATTTCAAATGCTCTATAAACTATAGCATTGTAGCTGTGTATGTGACAGAGAAAGAGTGCGAGAGAGATCACTGTGATTCGTTTAACTCTCCTCTCGATTTGAGAATTATTAATTGTTGTTGTTGGTTTTGTCCTGTCCGAACAGGAATGAAATGGCGCAAACATACAGAGCACACAAACTCTCTCTCTTGCTACCGTGACTCATCGCTATATGAGTATGAAATATAAATGTGTGCTTGATGAATTTCGGATTCTTATCGAAATTGATGACCGCATGAATATTGATGAGAAAATTCAAACACTGAAAATCCATTCATTTAGATTTCAGTGAAAATTATTCGAAACAAATAAAGTAAATATTAAAATAATATTATTAAATAATCTCCTTTCATCTCTCTTCTTGCTCACATTTTCGAATATGTTGTTTGTTTTTCATGTATATTTTGATTTTAATTGTTGATTTTCATTCTGTCTTCGTGTTTGTTTTTTTTTGTAATTGCTTATCCATTGCAATGGCTACTTATGCAATCTATATGAACAAAAAATGTGTAAAATTTTGTACTTACCTCAGAGAATGTAACATATTGGCCATCTTCAAGTCCGTGTCGGGTCTCATCCAAGCATGTCACAATACCGTCTGTATCCTTGGTGATGCTGGCCACCATATTTGATACGGGTTGTGCACCATTGTCATCATAAATGGTGAAACTCTCACCAAAATCGCAGAATATTTGTGCAAATAATCCGCGCGTTTGACCGATAATCAAAGCAATATTATTATCATGTGTAATTGCTGCGATGCGATCCTGTTCAGCGTTTGCAGTTTCAGTGAGCACAACAACGCGGAATTGTTTGATAAATGGCTCAGTGAGTTCGCCTGTATGTACCCGTACCGGTACATAATTATTCAATTCGGCCAATTGTTTAACCGACACTTCGGCACGATTTTTTCCTTCATCTGCTTCGCTCAAATAATATTGCGATGATAAATCGCTCACCGTACATGCGACTGTATCATGAAGTGTGACGGATTTTACACCGCCGAGTATAATATTTTTGGCAATTTCAACGCCTAAGCCACCTAATCCCGAGATTAGAATGTCTGAATTGGCCATGCGACGCATTGCATCGTGACCGAGCACGTATAATTGGCGCGAGTAGAGTCCTTCATCGATTTCACCGGGTGTTTCACGCGAAGTCGATCCGTTGTTCGCCATTGTTGCTGGTGTTGCGTTGCTGGAAGCGTTATTAGTTTGCAACTTCCGTTTTTTGGCGGCAGGTGGATCAACAGAACTCTCAATGACTTCAGCACTAGACATCGGACATAAAAACCTGTCGCTGAAAGATTCGCTGCTGCTCTCTCACGTGTGAAATGATGTTTTACCCTTTTATATGCTGTACTCTCTGTCTGATTAGGTCTCAATTGGGTCTAAATTGAAATTAAAAATGGGAAAAGAGCCTGTTTCACCACGAGTTTTCTTTTTTTAAACCAACAAAATAATAGCAGTTCACACAAATTTTCTCTGTTTCTGCCGTTTATCTGAAGATTATTTGGATTTTTTATTGTGTGTATGCAAAAGCTTCGACGACGATGACGACGTTTTGGCTCCCGACTGTTGTTGCTTCAATCTCTCAGAACAAAGAAAATGAAACACACACTCGATGTCGTTTCAGATTGTATGTCTTACGTGCTTTTTTTATCGTTTCAAATCCTCTGTATATCGTCGATACGTTTCGATGACAAACGGTAAATGAATCAACATAAAAAAAATCAACACAATTTTTTCAATCTTCTTTTTTTAACTGTTCGACACTTTTTACAAAACACAATAAATCAAATTGATTTCGTTCTCTGTATTTTTATATATTTTTTTTCAAAAATTTCTATCTCTCTTTCGCTGTATATTGTTTGTTTCAATAAATAGTGTGTCAGTAAAAGAAGGAACTACACGAAAAAAAATCGACACACTCGATCGAAAGGGAACAACTTTTACTTGTTTCTATATGTACAAAAACTTTTACGTTTTCGTCAAAACGAAAAATTATGAGAACGAAATGAACGAAAAAAAATAAGTAAGTAAAATTGATGGAAAAAGCAAAGTATATACCAGCACTAGCGAACTAGACAATACGAAAAATAAATTTGATTGATGTATGAAATTCGATGGATAATTGTACAATAATAATTTTTTATGTCTTGCTGCCGCAAACCAATTCTTCCTTCTTTTTTCTCTATCTATTTTACTTTCTGTCGTTCGGCTCAGAGAAAATGGAAGCGAATACAAAGCAACAAAGTAGCGAGAACAATGAATGACTTTAATGACAGTGCGTTTTTGCATTTATGCGTCGTCCATTGATACACATATCAATACCACAGAAAAATGACACCAGAGTGCGTTACACTTACCCATACATTCCATTCATTTTTTGCTTTCAACTTAATTTTAATTTCGAATGAATTTTTTTTTATTTAAAAAAAAATGCAAAAAATATAATTTAAAGAAAATTCTTTTGAAAATAGAAATTCAACTGTTTCGAACATCAATTTAATTTCGACTGTGCATATGTGTAGAGAAAACGTTTTATGTGAAATGTTCAATGGCGCTGTTAGTTGCTGTGTTCTCCACTTTATGTTTTTCGCCTCACTTCATTCGATTCGGCATCGTTGTCAAAACTGTCTGTGTATTGCATACAACATACAAAAAATAAAATACAGCAAAAAATTGAAGCGGTTCACAAGGGTCGCTAAGATTTTTTTTTTGTGTGTTTGAAAGTAGTGAACGAGAAATCGACTGAAGAAAAATGGCAAAAGTAACAGAGGACTTCTATTTGCGTTATTACGTTGGACACAGAGGTAAATTCGGTCATGAATTTTTGGAATTTGAATTCCGACCGGACGGTAAACTACGATATGCAAACAACTCCAACTACAAAAATGATACAATGATTCGAAAAGAAGCGTACGTTCATCATACGGTTATGGAAGAGCTGAAACGAATTATTGTTGACTCGGAAATTATGCAAGAAGATGATTCATTGTGGCCACCTCCAGATCGTGTTGGTCGTCAAGTAAGTTATTGCCAAACAAACAACATTTATCCAATGGCAATTTCCCGAATGAGGTTATGTAGCCATTTCAATTTCCATTGCTGATTACGGAATGTTTTGTTTTTTTAATTTTGTCAAAACAGGAGTTGGAAATTGTGATTGGTGACGAGCACATTTCATTCACCACATCGAAAACCGGTTCGCTAGTCGATGTCAATCAATCCAAAGATCCAGAAGGTCTTCGTGGTTTCTACTACTTGGTCCAGGATTTAAAGTGCTTGGTATTCTCTTTGATCGGACTCCATTTCAAAATCAAGCCAATATAAATGGAAGCAGCATTTTCAATACATACCGTATCACTTTAATTTATAGCTAATCTTCTTATTCTTCATTTGATTTTTTGGTAAATAAAAACACAGCACACAAGAAGAGTACATTTTTTTTGGATTTTCTTTCATTCGGCTACATATTTAGAACATAAACTTTATTATCCTTTTCGTCAACACAAAGACAAATACATAAATCCTTCAAAATTGATCAAAATAAACATACAGTGCGTTGTCATACTACAACTACCTTTGACATGATAGTTACAAGCTTTGGATTATTATTATTTTTTTCCTTTCTTGAACTGAACAATATTCAAATGATTATAATTTTCTCTCTAAGGTTTTGTTCTTCATAAAAAGGTTTGTTGGTTTTTCGTGTTTTTTTTTCTTGTTATACAAATTTAATTGATAATAAGTGATACTGTGAGTAGTAAATGAGTGATGAGAAGAAATGTCCTTGTCAAGTATTTTTTTTATATTCCATCGGTACAACAATTCAACACTAACAATACAAATTTTCTGTAGTTTAAATTTTTTTTTTGTTTGTGTTAATTACGTTTCTTTTTTAAAATAATGGTGTGATTGCTTCACGTTGTCTCATTAATTCTATGTTCTTTCCTTATGGCATTTGGTAATTGTTTACCAATTAGCTTTGAAAAAGTTGATCAAACCATTTGTTGAGGAATCGTGTGATGTGACCTTGTCAGCGGTAGCCAATTCTGGTTCGATGGCTTTGGCCAATTGTTTGCCGAGCTCAACACCCCATTGATCGAATGAGTTTATGTCCCAAACAATACCTTGAACGAAGATTTTGTGCTCATACAATGCTAAAAACAATAAAACATTATTCGATCTCTCCTTTCTAATAACAAAAGTGGTTCATCAATGAATCAATTATTCAAATTGAACCAAATTAAATTAAATTATAACAACAAAAATATTCATATATTACCAATCAAAGATCCCAAAATGAATGGCGTCAATTTCTTAACAACAATTGAATTTGTTGGACGATTTCCAGTGAACACTTTGTGTGGTAACAATGCGGCCAATTTTTCCATACTCAAACCGGATTGTTCCAATTCGGCTTTGGCTTGAGCTTCACTTTTGCCGGCCATCAGGGCTTCAGTTTGTGCCAAGAAATTTGCCAACAGAATTTTGTGATGAGCACCACCAGCAATTGGATTTTGTGTTACGGCCGGTGCAATGAAGTCGCATGGAATCAAACGGGTTCCCTTTGGATGAAAAGAAAGATAAAAAGAAATCAAAATCGATGTAAAAAAGCATGAAAAAAAAGATAGATTTACTTGATGAATCAATTGATAGAATGCATGTTGTCCATTCGTGCCTGGTTCGCCCCAAACAATTGGACCAGTATTGTAGTCGACACGTTGGCCAGCCTTGGTAACACCTTTGCCATTGCTTTCCATGTCGCCTTGTTGGAAATAGGCGGCAAAACGATGCAAATATTGATCGTATGGCAAAAGTGCATGCGTTTCAGCACCATAGAAATTCGAGTACCAAATGCCAAGCAAAGCCAAAATAACTGGTGCATTTTGTTCAAGTGGTGCGTTCACAAAGTGTTGATCCATGAAATAGGCACCTTCCAAGAGTTTTTCAAAATTATCAAAACCAATGGCTAATGAGATCGATAGGCCGATAGCCGACCACAATGAATAACGTCCACCAACCCAATCCCAGAAACCGAACATATTTTTCGAATCGATGCCAAATGCTTCGACCTTTTCTTTGTTTGTCGACAATGCAACAAAGTGCTTGGCAACAGCGCTTGCCTGTTAAATATGCAAAAAAAATAAAAAAAATATTTTAAAACATTTCGAACATTATCTTGGCTTACATCTTTAGCATGTTCCAAAAGCCAAGTTTTGGCCGATGTGGCATTTGTAATTGTTTCCTGAGTTGTGAATGTCTTTGATGCGATGATAAAGAGTGTGGTCTCTGGATTGACTTTGCGCAATGTTTCAGCCATATGGGTTCCATCAATGTTCGACACAAAGTGCAATACCAATCCCTTTGAATATGGTTTCAATGCTTCGGTCACCATAAGTGGACCCAAATCCGAGCCACCAATACCAATGTTAACAACATCGGTGATTTTTTTGCCCGTATAACCTTTCCATTTGCCAGACAAAATCTCGTCAGTAAATTCTTTCATGTGTTGAAGTACAGCACGAACGTCAGGCATAACATCTTTGCCACCCACCAAAATTGGATTGCTTGAACGATTTCTTAATGCGGTATGCAAAACGGCACGATCTTCGGTGATGTTAATATGTTGACCGGAAAATTCAGCGGCACGAGCCTCTGTAATTTTTCGTGCTTTGACCAAATCAAAAAGAAGGCCCAACACTTCGGAATTGATGCGATTCTTTGAATAATCAAGCAAAATATCGCCATCAGCTGGTGTTGAAACCTTCAAGCTGTTATTTAAAAAAATGAAATCAACCACAAAATAAACACATTCACCGTCAGTTTTCAATTTCATAAGTGATTGCTTCAAGTACATCAGCCATTTCATCATGCGCCTACACGATAGATTTGCGTCAATGACCTTTCAGAAAAAATCTCACCTGAATTTTTCAAAGCGAGCTGGATCGCTGTCAAACATTGCCTTAATATTTAAATTGTTGCCGTTTGCATTGAACCATTCTTGCAATTTTTGATATGCTGGCTCTTTCGTCAATGGAGGTAATGCTGCCATTTTATCAATTTTTCGTCACAATGAAACCTTTTGGATCTGCCTGTTTTCATGTTTTCCCAAAATAAACGTGAAAAAAAAGTGATGAGAATAAAACGCAGAATTTTAAATTATTGCACAACAATAACACATTTATTTTGCCACTTCTATCTCACTATGATGATCATTTATCAACGATTATACAATGATTTTTTTTAAATCGTCGACATGACGAAATTCCATTTCAGCTGATACTTTACCTGGAATTGATTTTGAACACTGAATCGGCGCGTTTGCCACTTATGACACTCGATTTTGTTCTGGCAACGTCGTTTATGACTGCCAAACCGTATAGTAAAAATTTTGCGGCCTTTCAATGTCAAATGAAAAACATATCAATACCTAACCATACACATTCACTTTTTTTCATTTTTGTATGACAATGTGTATGTGTTTGCGTGTATTTGTTTATGTATCGTGCGCACTCCATTTTCCATCACAGTATGTGTTGTTTATGAATAGTTATCCAACACAACGATTCAGTGATAGCGTGCACACATTGCACACGTACGCACTTTCACATCGCAATCTGTACGATTATTCGTTTGAGAATTATAGTAAATTCATATATATAAGCACTTGTATCTCGATTTTCAATAATGGAACTCGCTTTGCGGTCATGCTTTGATTGAAACTTGTTGTTTTCTTTTTCTATTCTGTTTGTGGCCAGTTGCGTTTGTAAAAATAAGCATATCGCATATGAGAAATGTAAGTTTTGTATATTGCCCAAAGCATATTGAATGATTAGCATTGAATTCATATGTTGAGATCAAGATTCCTTTCTAATTTAATTTTTAGCACAAAATAAATGCACCGAATCGATGTCATTTTTTATTCAAGTTTAATCACTATATAGTGTTATAACGATTTATGGATCGTTTTTTTCTTTCAAATTATTCAACTGTTACATCATTTTAAAGCAAAAGTCACAACGAATTTTGCTTACTTTTCATTCTACACCGTTTGTTATTCAATCGCATTTAAATGCTTATCAATAAATAAATTGAACTTTCACATTAAAAGTTCAAATAGTAAAATCAATTGTCAAAAACTGCGCGATCGCATATTCAAATAGAAATATGGGTGAACGCTTTTTATCAACTGTTCGCACCACAAAGCCAACAACTTTGAAATTTATTCCAATAATTAAACATTGTGACAATTCAACAAAAACCGACTATTTAATTGATAAGAGACATATGATTGCGACCATGTGTTTACAGTTACTTTTATGTAATAACATGCATTTCCTTATTTGTGAACGTTTAACGTCAAACAGGATTCAATTTTATTTAAAAAAATTCTTTTCATTATTTCCAAGAGAAGTTTCTAATGGGACAATTTCTTTATAGGAAACTATCTAAGAAAATAACCTTATGCATTCGATAAATGATTTTCATTGAGAATATTTTTATCAATTTGTTATTCTTTTTTTTTTAAGATGAACATTTTTTTACGTGTAATATAATATAAAATTGTGAAATCGATATAAAGATCATATTATTTGTTCATAACACTTGTCTACAGTGACTTTATTGTGACCTAGATCACTTTTGGGGAAAATATATAATTCTAATTGAACAGCTGGTATAGTTGGAATTTTCTGTGGTTGTGTGATCTAGACAAATCATATTGTTCTTAAACCAAGTTAGAATAATAATACACCGCGAAAAATTGTCTGTGAAATCTAATAATTGGTGTTGGCAGGGTAAAGGTATGGATCATTGATCAGAAACCTCATCACCATTAAAATCTTGTATGGCACATAGAGTGTCGTTAATGTTTGTTTCAAATAGTAGATAATTTATTGTAATTTCAACATATGAATTTGAATAATGCTAGAGAAATAACGCCGCAAAATTTTTGGTTTTATATCGTTGATTATTTTTTTTTACATACAAAGCTATCCTATTATATTTTAGTGTTTAATATTTTGTTTATTCTTCAAAATTTCAAGTAATTTACAATTAGGTACCCTTAGTTAGGGCCTCTCTCCAATACCGTCATTTTACATTTGCTCCTGTCATATGATGTATGTTTGTCCATACAAATCCCATTCTAAATATGATGAATAAAAAAAATCCATTAAAATGTATGGAATCTATAAAAATACCCGAATGGTTCATTTGCGGACTTAAACGGAGATGTTGCGGAGCTGTGTGGAGATAGATATGAACAGTATGCAAGAGGCGTGAACAGTATACAACAGACGAGTGTAAATCTTTATTTGTGTGCGCGCAATGGTTACTATGCTTACGCATGTTCTTCAATACTGTTCATGTCTATCTCCACACAGCTCCGCAACATCTCCGCTTAAGTCCGCAAATGAACCATTCGGGTATGCCATAAAATAATAAAATTGACACTTTTTTGGTTTTTAACAAATATGTGTAACCACATCGCTCAAGCTTATCTCGGAATGAGCTGATACTTCAATATGTGTTACACCCATTCTCTCTTCTTTCAGACGAACGGGTTTTCTCAAAAATATATAGAAAAAAATCTTTAGAAACTTTCCAGCCCTGGATTTTTCATTTCATACGCATATGCGCGAATATACATGCCGGCAGACAATCATAGTGAAGTGTAAAATTGCTGCGTTGCCCAGCTGTCATTATTGTCATGTCGTGTCCTCCGTACATAACGGCACATTCAACAAAATAAAATAATGCAAACAAAACCAATTGCCTTCACCGATAAAATATACAAATGAATAAAAAAATATATATATAAAGTCATATAAGACGTTTTTTCTTCAGCTGTTTGATTTCACTGAATTTCTTATCTTTATTTCAATATATTTAGTATGCATTTATATCAAGAAGAATTGATTTATATGTTACTTTATTAAAAAATTAAAAATTGAACACATCAACATCCAATTTTCCTTTTTTAAATCTAACAATATTTTTAATTCTTCAGTTGAAAAAATTTAATCTGTTGAGCGATCAATGAGTACTGCCCGTTGAGCAACATTGAAATATGCTTCATATTCAATAGTATTGGCACTCGTATCATATTCATAGTTACCGCCCCATTTGCCATTTGAAAAGCTATGAAAATGTTCCATTTGCATGTTTAAACCCATATCGTCAGTTATGAATGTCCCAACCGAAGTGAATGGAGCAGGCATATCGAAGAATTTCTTCCATGAATTATCTTTTACAGATTTTTTTAGAGAAATGTTTCTTAAATGATGCTTTGTTGTGCCATTTTTCACAATGAATACTCCTCCAATACCTAACATTAGATGGAGTCATTAAGAATGACAATTGACGTGATCAAATGTATTTCAATTACCGACAACTTTCCATCCAAATGCGTCAGAAACAGCATTACGGCAGGCTGTTACGAAGCTTGCTTCACTTCCGACACGTTTTTTTGCTTTTATATGAACGACCTGCGAAACAATAAAAAAAATCGCCGTCAAATTGATAAGACATAGAAAATATAAAGACGAACCTTTCCAGCTTTGCCCTCGGTCACAAACATATTGCCCAAAAATGCCATTCGTGTTTCGTTTGGTGAAACTTTTTCAGTTTTGACATCAGACCCGTCAAAATGGGTATATCGACATTCATTTACAAGCGTTTTGTTTTCGTTTACTTTTAAATTGTAAACTCCCCGCGGAACAGAATATAAGAATTAATTCGAAATTAATTTTAGAAATAATATTTGTTGGTGCTGTACATCACAGAATTTTATTTTGTCCAAAAATGGACCTTCGCCGGCACCAATTACAGCAAAACTTTTAGCATTTGGTAATACATTTTCTCCAATGTCGACTAGGTCGTATATTCTTTTCAATGTTGGCTTTGGCAGCAAATATTTCATGCTACCGACTTCAACGTGAGCAGTTGATCCACTCAAGCCTTTTGTTGCCAAATTAAATGGTGCTGCCATTAAGTCCGGACAATCGACCACTTTGACTGATACTTGTGCATAGTTTTGTTTCAATTTGGTTTTTAATTTTACGCAAGCAAAATTGTACAGATTTTTAAAACATATGTGGGTTTTAATGGTGGTGTATATCTGTCCCTTTTTTCAGTTTTAAATTGAATATGATAAATTGATTTTGGCGGTGTTATATTATTGTCGAAATGAAACCAATGTCTTACCCTCGGCCAAATGACTTAAATCGGGTGTATAAAGTTCGAACTCTTCAAACAGCATAGGATATTTTTTTATTTTAAGCGTAGGGAATGGATCACCGTTTACATTTAGCTATATAAAAAGGAATTTAAAATCTTGTTTTTATATTTCAAAACTTTTAAAACGAAAAATTATAAAATAAATAACCATTGACGTTGTAAGTGTAATGCCAATTAGCATTAGAATCTCTAGTTGATACGCAGGTCGTGACATCTTTCATCTTTGAGAAGATTTTCGATTATTATCTTGATTTATTTTTAAAAAATGTTGATTGTTCTATATCGTTTGTCAAGGTATTTTCTATACCCCTTCTCATACTTTTTTTTAATTAAAATTATTTTAAATTCACAAATTATCTTACCAAAATGTTCAATGCTTTTTTAAAGTAAAAGTTTATAACTCAGCAAGAGATGAATGATCCCTTGTATTTATACTTAATTCAAGGCAAAATGAATATAATTTTCATAGCAAAGCGAGCTAGAGACAACTATGAAAATATGTGAAAGCGGCTGTTTCCACGTATAAAACAAATACTCTTTATATTGAATTTGATATAACGAACATTCCATATTATGAACCTGTGAGATATAGTATTCAATGCAGAATGTATTAAAGTAATGAAGAAAACATAAGCCAACAGTAACGCCTTATATCAACGCAGGCACCTTATAAGATATATCCACTACATCTAGGAGGTTGGAATTGCAATGCCATGGCGAAGAGTTAATTGCTATAAATATGATCATTCGACCAAATAATATGAAATAGAATGAGAATACGAAGAGAAAATAGGAAAAATAGTATAGGCGTCTCCACTGTAAAACTTGGTGTTTATTTTACAATAGACGTTTGAATGCTCAAATTTACAAAACACTCGATATTCGATTGTAATTTTGGTTTGTGTTTTAAACAGTTAAAAAAATTCTATTAAATTACCCGTATAAATTTACAAATCTTTTGATAATTTGTTTTTCGACCAATAGATTTCCACCAACAAAAGACGCTGTTTTTTGTGTGCACGTAAATTAGAAATTGGATTCATGAGATAAGGCTATTCAACCTTTTTCTGTTCAATACTAAATTTTTTGTTCTTTTTTTCCGTCGAAATAACTAATTTAATAGCACTTATTAAATTCGCAAAAATTTGCAAAAAAAGGGTTTAAATGTTTTAATGTACAAATTTATGTATGGGCTTCCAAGCCAAAGATAACCTTGGACCAGCCGGTGTATATTTGTATGAGATTGGAGACTTTTTTTTGCGAATCTCGCTAATGAGCGCCATCTGATTTTAGTGTGAATTAGATGCAAAAACTGAATTTAATTCTGTAGCATTGAAATGAAAAAGTGAAAAAACAACAACAATAGCACGGCCACACAGAGCTGTACATCTATGCGTGCTGATGCATACATACACATATACGCTTTCTTCATTCTTTCATTCCATTGCTATACGTATCTTACTGGTCAACAGATCTATGTAGCCATGTTACTGTTGTTGTTTTTTTTCTCTTTTTCGATTCAATTCATTGTAACTAAATTGAGTTCAACTATGGAATACAAGATGGCACAGATGAGGGGAATTCGCATTTTGTCTCTTCATAGGCTTAGCCGGTTGCCTTGGACTTCATGATAAATGTTGGCTGAACCAAGAGCATCGCTTATTCCCCAAGAAATTCAAAGCTTGTATATGAATTGTAAATGATAATTTTTCCTTACCAAATATAACAAATTTAAAGATTGAAAACCTTCCTTTTCAGAGATCTGAAACACAATGATATAGAAAAAGCAATAAAAAAATGTTCAGTTTTCTTTTTTAATGATTTATTTTTCTATTTTTTTCTTTATAATAAAGGTATGAAACGATCGAGTGCAAACTTTTACAATACATTTTCTTTTGAATGTTTGTTCGTATACTTCCATTTCTTTAAATGTTATTCAAAATATTTAAATGACAAATCTAATCATAAAATTTTTAATGTTTCTTTATTCTTTTTTTTCATCCTCTGTAAATTAATTCGAAACAGTTGAAATTCTAGAATTGTCTGGTGGCTACTTAAAATGAAACTTGACATAAATTCGAATTCGATTTGAGAAAAAAAAAGTGATTGAAAATATACGTTGTGTATAGTATTCGTCAAACTGAAAATTGGGCAGATATCCGGTAAAACAGTCAAACTACAACTACAAGATTCTCACTACATTGTCTAAGAACGATGGATGTGGAAAAATCAACATAAATTTTAGTGTGATAAATACAGTACATGCAATTATTGAACATGACATCGAGCTGACTTAACTTATCAAAATATTGCAACTCCTTGAAATTTCGTTTTTTTTATTATCTTGCACAGACCTAAGTAAGAGTGTATTTCATTTTCTTTTCTATTTGTGTACATTGTATATGTGAATGAAATGTATCAGAACTGACTATGTTTCTTCTTCTATTTGTATCAAGGCTAAATGTGCTAAACACACTCAAGTGCATTCGAATGTTCTGATTCCGTGCAATCTGCATTCGATGTGTGTTTGAATCAAATATAGCTCTATTACTTTTTTTGTGTGTGAATATTTTGCGATCGAAATCAGTGTGAGTGTGTGTGTATATATAGCGCTCAAATAAACAGGACGAAGAATGTTGAATGAATCAGTCATTGAATTTGTGTTTTTTTTTTGCAAATTCTATATACCTATTGAGTAAATGAGTATATGCTTTTAATTTTGGTTTTGGTATCTCACTAAACATCTATTATTTTCGTTTTCTATTGGTAAAATGAATTATCAAAATATTTCATTCAAGTTTGCTTACAGTGGTTTAATTTTATTTTGCAAAACTACAACCACTTTTTCATTTTAAAATATTTTCTCATACAATAAAAGTTGGCTGTGTGTCGAATTTGGGTTTAAATTTTTTTTTTGGTTTTTACTCGATATATAAAAGAAATTATTTTCATATTAATCGCAAAAATTACGTATATTTGTGTTAGATTAAATTCTACATATGCCAAATCTTTGAAATTATCAATAAACGTATTATTGTTTCATATTTTGGAATTTTGCTTTTCATTCGGTTCGTTTGTGTTTTTAATATTGCTTTGCTTTGAATGAATGAACGAATAACGATTGTTGAAGCATTGTTCCAACAATTTCTTTGCGATGGTAAAATAGTTTTACATGTGTGCGTGTTTTGGGTTACGCCAACGCATTATATTTCATCGTTAAATTATTCAATCAAAAAAAAAATTGATTGAACCGAAATCCATTTAAAAAGTGTTCGCTTTGCACTGAAAACACCCGGAAATGGATTTTGTGCAATACATTAGATGGATCAATTGACATTTTGATTGTCATACCATCCATATTCCGAAATAAGATCCAAAAAAATATTGCAATTAACAAATTCTTATCAAAATATGGAATTATAGTCATAAAAGCCTTTCATTTTCTTCGTTTTTTTTTCGACAAAGACTCGATATTTTGAATCAAGTATACTAAACCGCTTAGGTATCGAATGAAATGTGTCGAATGGCAGTTTTTTTCTATATTAGGCCTGAATTTACATGCCATGCAGTAATTTAAAGTGCAAACTATTGCGAAAAAGAATTTTTTTTTCATGGCAGCCTCCATGTATATTCTTAGGAGTGTTTCCAATTTGAAGGATGCAGTACTTTGAAATCATATGAATAGATTTTTAAAAATTATTTCGATTTCGATGCGTTGTGTTTTTTTTTGTTTTATTCTCTTATTAGTCATTGTGTGAAATTGATAGAATTTTTTGTGTAAAATGAGAAATGATTTTATATGTGCACAATCGGTGCCTTGATTAGAAGGAGTAATCTAAATTAAACGATGAGCAATTCTTTTCCACCGAAATAAGAAATGTATGAAATGAAATTGTTATTGGATTTTTGATCAGTCGATGCAATGGTTTTGCATTTGTACGTTTTTTTTTCTTTTTCTTCTTCGATTAGCACGAACGTACCCATTGTTACAATATTTAAATCCATTTGTAATAATTTGTTTTGTTAATGCAAATTTTTGTCGTTTGTCTCTTTCTATTTTAGTTTGATTATTATTTTTCGGTGCCATTTTGATTTCAAAACTCTATAAATCTTTGTCTTATAACTTTTGTTCACATTCTAATATACGTTCATTCCTTTGATTTACATCAATCTTTTCATTAGTGCTATGGACTAGAGAGCGTTATTTTCCCTGTGTCGTTTAATTAAAAACGCTCACAATTCAGGGCCTACAATACAAACATTTATGCATATTATACAATTATTTAATCTTTATCTTTTTATCTATGCATCTACTATGTCTATCTTACTTAAAATTAATAACCATATTTTCGTTTTGTTTGTTTGTTTTTTTTTTTGTATTTATTTATATAAAAAATATGCATTTTGTTCAGCAAACGACAAAACGTCGCTTTGATGACAAACAACATTTTTCATCTGTTCAATGTTATGCTTTGTATGGCGATATTAAAGCGATTATCGTACAAATCAATCAAGTAAATAAAGTCAAATTATTCGATTTGATTTTGACCAGAATCATTTTCAATCGCATCAAATCGTGTTTGGTTTGTTTCCACAATGATTTACAAAGACAAACATATTAGATGTATGGCATCTACACTTGTCACCGTCAAAGATTTTCCATTCTCTTTTCGTAATTTGTTAGTTGGTTTTGTGTGCTTGTTAGTTATTTTGTTGATTTTTTTCCACTTGCTTTCAAATTCATGTACTCTTTACATAAAAAAAATGTAATCAATTGGAAATCATACAATAATTATTGTGGGAGAATCATCGTTTGAATTATATATAGAAATTAAAAGAAAAAAATTATTATTATTTGTGGGCATTGACGTCGGTGTGAAGTAATTGAACATTTCCCGTTCATGTCACATTAGCGGCGTAGGTCACGTTAAACTATATAGGTCCATAGTCGCTCAATGCTTGTCCCGGCACTTGTCCATGTGATGGCAATGTAACCACGACGCTGACGGCTCGAGGATCAATAGAACCGGGGCCGGTCGTTGTTCCGCCGGTTATTGATGCGCCGCCAATATCTCCAGGTCATACGTGGCTAGCCGGCGGTTGTTTAAGAACATGATGGTGCAAATGATGGTGGCTTGTCGATGCAACGCTTCCAACTGCTGTGAACAAAAATTCAAATGAATCAGAATTCGGCATTTGTTTAAGAATTATAAATTATTTTTTTTTGAAGAATACTCTGAACTATTTATTACATACTCATTCGAAAAAAAAAAAATTCATTTGTTTTTAAATTCAGTTCAAAAATGTTGCACTCACCTTGGGTATATGGCGTTGCTAGAAGTGATGCTGCACCTGATGGAACTCCAATGCCAGAACCGGCGTATGGATATGGAACGGCTGCCCGTTGTTTAATTAATGCTTGATTTGCTCCGCTGCGATCGGGTGAACCGAAAATTCGACGCCATAAACGTTTCCACGAATCAAGTGTTTTTCCAGACCAAATCCAAACACCAGATGTAATGCCAACAGCGAGTGCCATAAAATATTTTAGCATAAGCAGCGAGTACAGTGGTTTACGTCGAACGCCAAGCATCTGTTTGCATGGGCAAGTCAGTGATGCCATCCAATCATCATAGAAATAAACTTCATATAAACAGCAACCGATTACAATGCTCGCTGGCACCGTGTACAATACGCTGAATATACCAATACGAATCATTAATTTCTCCAATTTATCAGCCTTTGCTCCGGCTCCAATGCCACCTTGTTGCTTAATCACTGATCTTATGTGGAATAATGATACAAAACCAGCTCCCAAAAACGACGTACCGATCACCAAATAAATGACCAACGGTATCAATACAAACGTTTTAAGATGTTCCATATTTAGATTGCCAACGTAACAAATACCAGAAACCGGATCGGCATCAACTGCTTGAACAAGTACAACGGCAACTGTTTGAACCGTTGGTATAAGCCAGGCGGCCAAATGAAAATATTGCGAGTGTTTTGCAATCGATTCATTGCCCCACTTTAGACCGGCAGCCAAGAACCAAGTGAATGATAAAATTACCCACCAAATCGATGATGCCATTCCAAAGAAATATGTCACCAAAAATATCATCGTACACGATGTTGGACCGGTCGATGAATATTTGATGATGCGACCATCGCAAGCAACTTCGTCATGGCCCAAAAATACGCGATAAAGATATCCGATGGCCACTAAAAAGTAGCAAAGTGATAAGAATACAATGGGCCGTTCGGGATATTTGAATCGTTCGGTGTCAATAACGAATGTTGTCAATGTCATCAATGTGCTAATGAAACACATTCCCGACCATAAAGTTATCCAAACAGCAGCAAAATCCTTTTCATCACGCGTGAAAAATGCACCGCGGCATGGAATCGCACAATTTTCAACTGTACCAATTTTTGTTGTACTTGTATTATAGAGAGCGTTTTCTTTGGTTATTGGTATAAGTGGTGCTTTGCATGTACAATCGCATGTTTTTGTCGATGTACCAATGTTACGATCGTTTGTGCCATTTTGACACTTCTTTCCCTTGCATTTATCTCCTCGATTCGGTGGTTTTGATTTGCCGCCTGGTCGATCCACTTCACCTGGACGGGGTGTATTTTCGGTGTTATAGCTGTCCGGTTGCATGCAAAGTACATCATTCGCTTGAAATTCAGGGAATCGTTCACATGCCATTCGTTCTGGCCATGGAAAACTGTACTTTTGCATGATTGGTGCACATCCGGACCGCGTTCGTTCGCACACAGCTCGACACACGGGCAATGGTTTGTGATAATCTTCGATACAAATGGGCATGTATAATGAACAAAGGAAAAATCTTAAATCAGGCGAACACTTCATTTCGACCAATGGAAAAAATTGATTTGCTTCAAGACCCGCTTCCTCTTGCGTGTCATGGTTCATTTCATTTGGAAATGATGTTAAATTATAGCCAATTCCTCGACACATTGATATTTTAATTTCTTCGCATCTCGAATTTGGATCGCGTGGAATGGGCGGTATTTGTGGAATTGGACTGACTCCCAATCCTTGCATTCCATTATCCGCTCGCACAATACACATCACCACACAGACAAATGTCAAAATTTTTATTAATTTATTGCACATCATTGCTGTAATTGATTAATCAGTAAATTCAGAAATAAGTAATATTTCGACTGGTTGAAATTCTTGAATAACTCCTCCCACTATTTCTGTTGCAGTTTCACCAGTGTCACTTTATTTTATTGAATTCATTCTGAGCCGCAATCCACATAACACGTATCTTGCATGGCCGCGCTCGCTTTTATTGCATTGAGATTATCTGAAAGTAGACAAAAAAAAATTCAAAATAAAATTAAATTCATGTTTTCACCCACTTTCAACTACACCACTAACATATTTCAAATATCAATTGTCTATTTGGATTTGTTCAAGCTGAAAATATTGTTGGAAAATGTAAAAGTGTCATTTTATCTTTGTCTGGGAATGTCACAACATATTTATAACTCCAACAAACAGATCAAATCATATAAAACCATACACACCATATTAATTTAAATGAATAAAATATGTGTTTTTCCATTTCTATTGAATTCACATCAAAATGTGGTAAATAACCAACTCCAAACATTTTGACATCAAAATAAAAACACATAAAAACAAAACTTTCTGTTTCAGGTTTCTTGAGAATATCACATGCTGGTTTTGGGTTGCAAGATAACATCAAGATCTCTTCGACATTATTCGCTTTAACAAATAACATATTGAAATTTTCAACAAAAATTTAACGAAGAAAAAAAATATGAAAAGAATCAAATTGATGAATCCACAAAACGTTGATCGCCTGTCTCAAGCCTAAACGATACGATATCGAATTCCTGCACGCTTACTCCAAAACGAATCTCACGAAATAACCGAATAATATGTTGTACGTAACATTTCTCATTGTCAGTGATTAAATTTCATTTTTAGGATATTGTGAATCCGGTCTTCGGGTATTTTCAATGTCACCGCATTCAAGCAGAATGTATAATGTGTGTGTGAGTTCAATATAAAATGGAAAATGTTCATTGCATTCGATATGTGATCAAAACAAAATGGTTCCTTTTACCAAACAGAAGTACTTAGAACTTAATCACCAACTAAGCCAATTAATTATTTAAAATTATCAACAGAACAAAACTGCAAATGAATCTCCATAATATAAAATGGTTGATCAACTATCTTCTTTATTTATTCTGACTGGTGTTGATCGGTCCACACTGATATTGTTCTGAAGAAGAAAAAAATGTATGTTGGTTTCGTGAGTTCGTGTGGCTCTTACAAGTTGCGTGCCTTCGATTGTAAGCAACTCTGTCATATCTTTGTCATGTAGTCGTGTGGGCTGTTTTTTTTTTAATTCTTTATTCGCTCTTGTCCTTTTTCCATTTGTTTGGCGTGGATTCGTGCTCTGCATGATTTTGAATGCAGGTGACGAAGAAAATGTAAACAAAGAAATTAAAACAGATTAGAACAAACGATAATTTTAAAGCCCACAGACTTAACCTAAAAATTAACAAGCACACAGGCTCATGGCGATATTTACATATTGCTGCATACAAGTCGAAAAGGAAAATAAATAGTAAGAAGTAGAGAAAAAAAAATGTACGAACACATCGAACTAGATTCGATTTTTTTTTAATATGTATAGCGAGGAGAAGAAAACGCCAACACCGAATTGACTGTTGTCTTTTGTTCTGTCTTGGTTGTTGGATGATTCGGTTTTTTTTATTTCATATTTATCCCGCTGATTCAATGAGGTAGAAATATTCTTTGGTATGGTTCAATTTACTGGGTTTTCTTTGGTTCTGCTTTGTACACTTCAGACTGTGCAGCAAATGGGAGTTTTATTTCATTTTTTTCGTCTCATCAATATTCCGTAACCGTTTTCACTTGGTTGATCAATCACAAAACAAACAATATTCTGTAGTGTTAGTCGTGTCATATTTATTTTTCTTCTAATTTAAAAACAAAAGGAGTGACTCGAAATTCGATATATTCTTTCGCTTATTGAAATTGAACACAAGGTTTATTCTTAAATCGAATGAATATTTTCAAAGTAATTCGATCCAAAATTTGATGGATGTTGCTAGTGATGTAAACGTTAAACATCTAAACTGTCATTAATAATAGTCATTAATCAATCATATATTGATTCACACGAAACTATCTTATTGACTTAAGTCAATTCGAAATCAATATCATTCCACTAGAGTAGTTTTCGATTCTTCTTTTTTTCGCTCTCTTTCTTAATCCTTCAAAATGTAATGTTACCAAAAATACTCTTTTCCAATGAACAAGATGAGGGAAGCGTTGCAAAAATGTATGCATTTTTCACTCTAATAGTTATAATTTCATCTTGACATTGCAGCAATTTCCACGAGCAAATTCAAATAAAAAAAATATCGTCCTGATAAGTCAAGTCAAGTGAACATACAAAAAAAAAACATTCGTTCGAATTTAAAAATAATATATACCCATGGAACTTAACTAGAGTTCGGAGAATTAATTAACTGAACTGAAGTAAAAAAGGTTGGCTAATTAAGAATTAAGCCAGAAAATGAAGAGAGAGATAGAGAGCAATGAGGAAAAAAAAAGATGAAAATTCTGTTGAGATGCAAGATATATTGATTTCGAAAATCTGTCAAATCGAGCATAACATCTCAACGAGAATACTGTTTTAATTTACGTAACTTTCAAGCATAGAACATTCAATACAAAACAAACAAAATATAATTATGGAGAAGAGAAAGAGAGAGAGAGAGCAAGATAGAGAAAGAAATGTGATGAAAACGAAGCAAAGTAAATCAAAGAAAATGCAGTGCAGAATAAATACCGAGAGCGTTAACGACGACGGGCATAATGAACATCTCGAACATAATAATTTAATGAAATTGATTAACAAGACTGAACTTGTTGTTTGCATAAGTGCATAAACAGTACACAGTTCGTATATATGAGAGTTCGGTTGTATGTTTACGAAAGGGTGCACAGCAAAAAAAAACTCTCTCAATTTAAGGCACACGCAGCGCAAGAATATTTATACCGTATCGTTGAGGATTCCAACGAAACACGATGTCTAACACTAGCACGCAACAACGATGTACAGAGAATCAATTCTTATGCAGAATAAAAAAAAAGAAGAAGAAGAAGAAATACAGGCAGTAAAAAAGAGAATCTGAGAATGACGATGATGAAAGAAAGAGGGAGATAGAGATAGATAGAGAAAGAGAGCAAAAGATCAAGGGAGCGTAAAATGCAATGTCAGAATAAGGTGAATTTCACGCACCGAAATGATTTAAAAGCGAAGATGAACGTTTCTCGTTGGCGCTGAACTTGATGTATGCGTGATTGTTTGTTTTTGTAAGACAAAATATAAATTTTAAATTCGAATTGATTCAACAGCTTTTACGTTGCTTTTTTTGGGATTTGTAACCAAATATTCGCCACACACTGCATCCCATGAATGTATAGATGTGCCAATATTGACGTAGCATTTATGTTTAATCAACGATTGCGATTTTCACGAATGTTGAAGCATTTGTGTGGCATGGGATGCATGGACAACAACAGTTTATACATACGATATCACGTTAAGGTATTTTTTCTTTTGCTCTCTCTCTCTCTCTCCCTCTATCTGATCATCTTCACTGTAATTTTATTTATTTACTTTAAACATTTTTTATACATCGATGTTATTCAGTTTTCTACTTCTTGTCCATTCGTTTGGGTTCTTTGTTTCTTCGTCTTGTTTTTTTTTTGTAATGGTTTATTTGCGCCGGATTCTTCAAGTTTTGATGCATACACCTTTTTTAGCGTTGCACTTTTTATTTGGTCTGTTGAATTATTCGCGGAAAGAACATATTTCACTTGACGCAAATACTAGTCAAAACCATATAGATTGTACATCATCAGTTTGCAAACTGAACAGGCATGCATGTCTCTGTGTGTGCAAAAACCATTAATTTCGGGCTTTTTTTCGCTGCAAGTCAGTTTTTGCTTCTCTTTATAGCTTAATAAATGTGCTTGGTGTATGTTTCATATGTAAATAAAAGTTGTTAATCGCACTAGGTAGTGTGCACCAAACAGCTATCGTATTTTCGAAAGGAAACATTTAATGATTTGTATCTCTTTCTCTCTGTCTCTTTGAGAACTGATTTTTCATTCTGTCTAGATGTTATTTCCACTTGTCAGAGCACAAAAAATAAAAAATGAAATTGTAAATGTATAAATTTCAAGTATCAAATATCATGAAAGAAAAATGCCATTTCGTCGAATGAATGTTTCAGCATAATATCAACTGGTGACTGGTGATTGTTTCACACGTCATCCAGGTGCTGCTATCCATTTAGGCAGAAAAAGAAATTGGATCGAATACCGTATACGTTGTTATAAGCAGAAAAGAAAAAAAACCATGGCGTTCAAAATCGAACCTATACATCTAGAGCTCATTTAGCACGTTAGCTTTCATCGTTGTTTTTGTCACGAGAAATACTTGGAATGAAAATTATCATCTCACCTGATCATCAGAGAATTCAATCCTCATGAAATTCGTGAAATACACGACTCACAGTCAATTAACGATAACAGATGCTCCCGATTTAACTCCAATATAAAACGAAACACACATTGAACATATTGCAAATATGTAAATCTACTACCCATTGAAAAAAGTTTCGTTAAGATGTTGCACCATGATGCTATTTTAACAAAGCGTAACATGATCGCACGAGTAATAATCTTCGATATTGTTGCTAATTTATTGTTGTGCATGAAAGCAAATCAGTAGCATCTTCATTTAAACTATTTCTGTATTATTATTTTTTTAAATTTCAATTAATAATATTCGTAATAATGCGTAAACTTTGAATCATCACGGTTGCAATGTTCAAATGGATCACAAGCATTTCACTTGATATTGGCTGAAGATAACATGTCAAAGACATAATAATGTGAATATATATTTGTGTGTACGTTTGCTGTTCACAATCAATTAATTTTGCATTTACAGTTTTTTTCTGGATATTTATTTATTAGTGTAAACGAACAAATATGTAACGTTTTTAGGACATTTTAACGTTAAAAAATGTAACGCTTTAACCCATTTTTGTGGCAATTTTCGTGTCAAATGGAAGGTAGAATATAGGCATAATGTGAACCACTTTTTCGGCTTTTTCGTGTTGCGATACACAACAACATCTTCTGTGTGTTTCGATTGTTTCTCTTTTTGTTATTATATTCTAAGAAACTGTAGCGGCAATACAATGTAAACAAATGTAAATAACATAAACTCGTTGAGTTCATAATATCCTATTCATACGATTGATTTTAAGCAAATGAAATTTGAAAAACAAACCGGAAAAAAAAGAGGATGAAAATACAAATCTTACTCTCTTCTCTCTGTGTGTGTTTCGATTGTGCATGAATAAAAAAAAACATTGCGTAGGAATTTCAAGTGACTGTGAAATACATTTATAAATGTACCTTTTTTTAGATTTGTTTGATTTGATTTTAGTTTCAGAAACATTTTTTTATTTTTTTTATTTTTTTTATTTCATAATTCAAATTCGAATTTCGAATTCGAAACATGTTTGAATGTGTACGACATTTGACAGTTGGTAGCTGTGTGTATTGGTGTGTATCATATCGAAGCCGATTTTTCTGATTACATTCAAAATGTGCTTCGTAAACATTGCATCGTATCAATTAATTTCTTTGAACTAAATAGGGATTTTTTCGCATCAAAATATTTTGAAGTTATTGTTAAGAATAAGGTAAGTAATTATGGTTAAGTTGCCATTGTGTTGAAAAAAAAAAAAACAAAATTCAGTGATTAATAAATGGAATTTTTGTACATGAGATTCATTTTTTGTTTATCGTCATTTTAGCAACGGTTTGGTGTGTTTGGAACGTAACTGTAGAAGTCACTCGATGTCAAATGGAAAGATTCACAGTCCGTTTTGTGACAGTCTTTGTTTTCATTTCAAAATAAAAAAAAAACATTTTCATCGTTTTAATCAGGACACAGCGTTATATAGTATAAGAAGTTATTCATTTGAATTGTGATATGAGTGTGTTCTCATTTTTTGTTTGTAACAAATTGTGCTTTGCTTGTAAAAGGAATTCTTGAGAATTATGTGTGAGTGTTTATATTAGAGTATGAAACAATTTGTTTGTCGTCATTTTTGGCTAACATTTGTTCCAATGATTTTGTTTGTTCGATGTTAAACGGATAAATTCACTGTTGGTTTTGAGATTGTCTCTGTTGTTATTTCAAAATAAGAAAGCATTCATAAAATTGACGGTGAATATTCCAACAAAATTTTCATCTGCGGAATATTGGAAAACATTTCATCATTTGAATCAGAATACAGAGTGACATCGTTGAGGTAAGAAGTGATTAATTTGAATTGTGATATAAGTGATTGTCATTTAAATTGTGATCTCATTTTATTCCTAATCTATGCTTTTTTTGTTGCATTTTTTTTCTAAATTTGTGTCTATTTTTTATTTTCGAATAATTTGATCAGTTTTTTGAGAATGAACAGAAAAAGACATGGATGACGACGAGCTCGATGATAATCAACCAGAAGAAAGCAAATACGTTGTAATAAAATGTGGACTTCAAACAATCCTGCGACAACAACATGAACGGATTGAAAGAGTTGGAGAAGTTGTGACCAAAATGCTATTCGAGCGCAGTGTTCAAATGACAGAAGTGGCAGCATTGGCATCACTTTCTATTCTTTTTATTTTGAATGACGCACTTGATAATGACGATCGTGCATTTTTTTTGAAACCACATCCAAGCCTGTTCATTGCCGATTGTTTCAGAGCGGTATTAAACCAACACGTTAACAATATCAGAAGTCAATATCGGATATTGCCCGAGTTTCGTTTCATGGTAGAAAGAAACAGTGAAGAACAGTTCCGATGGCCAGATGATGAAAAGTTGGGAAATGGTTTGAGATATTTTTATAAACAATATATCACAAACATTCAAACCAATACCAACACATGGTGTGAAAAACGACTTGAGAATTTTTTTCGAATGCGTTGTTGGTATCGCAATCGATTCCACAATGGCTCAAGATTTGATAACATCGACATCAGAAATGCCAAAGAGTTTTCATATCGATTTAAGAATTTAACGAATGGTAATAATGGTAATAATGTGGATCCACAACGCGTTGAAAAATTCAATATTTTAATGAGAGATTTGACTGAAATTGGATGGTCGGGAACAGTGAGTATGAAATTTTTCGCAAAATATCGTTGGTTTGAATCACTGTGGTTGTTCGGTCAAATGCAACGGCAAATAGAAGTGTATCACAGTCATGCCGAACAATGGTATACCATTCATGAAATGTTTCGCAACAATCCGAACTTTCAAGAGCCAACAATCAATCGACCATCAAAAATAAGCAGTTTTGCTCTTATACCATTATGCGACTACCATTTGAAAAACGTGCGATTGGACATTACGGACTTGTATAATAAAATTGTAAACGAGCTTGATTTGGTGCCTTCTTTTCTCAATACGCGGACCAACCGGATGAATAAGAGAAATTTAAAGTACTACACCCAAACTGATCGATCAGGTCTATGGAATATGTTGTTCGATGTCGGTGAAATAAATAAATTGGGCAAATCGAAATCATTCCATCATCAGATTTTGACCGATAGTGTTTCAATATCCATAATGTACAAGAAACCACAGCGACAACAACGACCACAGCGACAACAACGACCACAGCAAACAACCCAAGCGAATCGGGGGCCGGAAAAACTCATTGGCAAGAAATACATCATTGGAATCGATCCAAATGAAAAATCGTGGTTAACTGTAGTGCGTCGCAACATTCAAAAAACACCTGATGAGCCGGCTGTTGAGGTAACATATTTTGAAATGTAATTTGAAATGGTTTTGAATAGAAACTCATAGTTTTTTGTATCATTTTGCATTTTGAAGGAAAACATTATAATACCAAACCAGCGTTTTCATTGGGAAACTCAGCAGAAAAAACGAGACAAAGAAGCGAAAAAGTTGGCTGGATGGTTTGATATCGAAGAGAAGGAACATCTCAAAACATACCCATATCGTCCACCATCACCACGTAATTCAACATGGAAATCATACATTGAATATCGCATTAAAATGTTACGAAAAGGAATGGCAGCTTATGCGACGCGTGAATATGCACGACTGGATTTAGACCATCACATTCGCTCGACCAGAGTAAATGATCAAATCGCCGTGCGTGTGACAAACAACAAACCGTCGTTGGTTCAATTTGGTGCTTGGGCGATGAAACCCGATCGACCGTTTGGAATAAAAAAGCGTAAAAGATGTCCGGGATCGCGTAAGTTTCGTGTGAGCATTAAGAAACTTGGACATTCAGAAGTTGAAATGCAAGATGAATGGGGAACATCACAAACATGCGCGAATTGTCAGGAACGCTTTCCAAGGCACACAAAAGATGATCGATTTAAAGTGTGCTACGATTGTAGAGCGAAAAAGATTGATGGCCTGCCAGATTCAGTCGCTGGACTGCCAGATATCATTGTGTCAACGGTCAACAGACGTGTTTTGAGAAGAAAACGTGCAATTATTAAGCGACAAATTATCGATGGCAATCGTGAGGCTGTGAACGAAAAGATTCGGACTGGGCGTTTAATGTCAAAGGTTAAAGTTACCTACAAAAATTGGCCATTAAATGTTGATGATGATGATGTTGTTCCACAAACAGTTACTTGGCACCGAGATATTGTTGCAGCAAAATGCATTATGCTCAAAGGTATGAATCAATTGGAAACAGAATATTCATTATTTAATGTATTTGCTTTAAATTACATAGGACTTTGCCGGATCTTTGATGTACCATTGCCAGTTTCATTGTTAAGACCGCCGGACCAAAACAACAATGGCAACTAACAAACATCATCAATTAATCATACATTCAAAAAATTACATAAAATAAAATATTTTAACTATTATAGTTAGCTTAGCTAGACATGAACAGACTATATAAAGTCTTGTGGTCTAGTTGTACAATAGTACAACATTGTACGGAGGGGGAGTGCCCGTAGGTGAGTAAAGTTTTTAATTTAAAAAAAGTATTTTATACCCAGTTCAACTGATACTAATGGTTGTCTTTCCCTTTTTCCATGTTTTCACACCTGAATGTTCCACCATGCCAAACCTATGGAAATGACTGAAACTACACACGAATCTAACCCCAAAAACGACCGTCAATATGTGCTTCATAATGGATGCATTTGCCCTATCAATTGTTTGCTGGGTAGTGTAAACGACATCGATTGTAATTATTATCGTTGAATTGATTGTGAAATTGGCATGCGAAACAACAGCGTTGAAGTGAATCTGCCAATCTACTTAGCAAAGACTTGCCACGGTGTGTGAGTGTGTGTGTGTGTGTGTGTGACCCTTTTGGGAAAACAGAACGTATCAGTTGTATATCATTAAACCGTTACTTCGTTTGTATTTCAAACATTGCTTTATAATACTCAACAATTTGCGGCTGCATATTATTATAATTTTCTTGTATTAAGCCTTACGTTTACCATCTGAGTTTCCACATACGTTGTTGTGGCATAAAATCACTTTTTAGTTATATGCTCACGTTCTCTCTCTCACACACACACATTCTGTGCAATTCGGTTTTTTCTTCACATTGCCTGCTTTTGCCTTTATGCGCAGTCAGAGTTACCAATGAAATGGCTGATTTGCTAAAGAAATATGTTGTGGATGTTCTTCCCAATTGAGAGTGGAAAAAAATGATACAATTGAAATAAACTGATAATTTTTTTTTAAATATTGAATATCTGCTATTTTTGCAAACCAGCCATGTTTCTCTTTTGATGGAAATTTCGTTTATCATCTCAAATCGAAATTATTTTAATTGATTCCATAAGCAGCCGTGTGTGTATTCAATTGATGTGAAAAAAAAATGTGAAAAATGCCTTTCCATAATAAAATACGCTCAATATTCGTTTAAAATATTGTCGTTTATTTCAGATTTAACGGTAAATCATAAAGGCTAAAGTAAATTATGACATTATACCGCTAACATTATTCAAAATGTAACATCTTAGATTTATTGTCTACAACAAAATTGTTTTTGTTTATTTTGCCGCAAAGTTTCCGAGATTAAGAAAACCAATGACTAACAACATCGGTTCCCATCCGCTTTTCTTTAACTCTCACCCAATTTATTTTTGTGTTTTTAAATATATATATTTTTTTTATTGTGTATTCGTTTTCCTATTTAAAACAGTATTCAATGTGAACTTAATGAACTTCTACAAATAAAACACACATGTCCCGACCATGTCTTGATATATATTTTTGGTAACGTTAAAAAAACACATTTCCGAAAGAAAGAAAAAACGGTTGCACCAATGAAAAAAGGACAAATATTGTATAATCGCTGCCGTCGAAATGAGACAGATTGATAAGCTTTTGTAGTTGGTTTTTATTTGCCTGTGAACATGTTGACTTTTTGAACGGAAGACACCCTCTGTACAGGCGATAAAATTTATTACCGCTTAAAAGTATTGCTCAAATAATTATCTAAAACAGCCTTACTAAATTACAAAAAAACGAGTATTATTTCAGTCTTAATTAGTAAAAGCGGTATTTTGGTTCGAATTCAATTCCACTGTTATTTGTGGGCATGACAAAGAGGTTCTAGGGAAGAAAAAAATGCGATAATTGATATGCATTGTGACCCAAATGTTATTTCCTTACTTTAGTTTTCGCTTTTGAACTTTTACCTTTTTAACATTTGCAAATTGAACTCGACATTTTCTCTCAACTAATGCGCGATACTTGACATTTCAAAAAAAAAATTCTTTAGCATTTCAAACAGAAAAGTTGTAAGAACCGAATGAAAGAAATGGCGGTAAAGTGTGAGAAAATCACCCATTTCCTCGAAAATGTAATAAATGTTTTAGTTTTGATTGTCAACAGTTGTAAGTAAATATTGAAGTGAAATTCTTGAAAAGACTTTGGTTTCTTTTATTTGCTTTGTGATTTATGAAACGCCCGAAGCGGCTAAATTTATTGGAATGCATATTTTTTTTTATAAATATTGGAATAATGGGAAAAGAAAATCTAAGTTTTTATTGTTGAATATCTACACCAAGTTGAAGTAAATAAATCGAACATCGAAAATTTGTCGAGTCGACGGATAGTATTTTTGTGCTGGTAAACCACAAAAAAACTGAGAGAACGTTCGTTGGGAAACGATGTCATGCATTGGGCATAAAGTATATTTCGTATAAACAAATGTTCGATAGAACGACGGGTGGCTTGATGTGGTGACCTGATGGGAACGTATGTTAAGTAAATCTCATACATTTTTTTTCTTTAAATTTACGAAGTGCGTTAATTGATGCAGCAAACAAGAAGAGAATGAAGCAAACATTCTCGTTCGACGAATACGTACACATGTGTTATGTGTCACAGAGAACTGATTTTGAATTCAATAAACAATTCTCTCTCTCTATCTCTCTATCGATTCACGGACAATTTCACATTCACATTCTGATCTTCAGCAATAATTTATTCGTTGTGTATGTGAAATAAATATGCAAATGACTTGTTTAAATGACGGTTACAAATGTCTAGTATTTATTGAGCAATGATTAAATGCTGTGTCTGCAAAAAGCACTATTTCTTTTAAAAGGTACAAGAGACGATTGCAAGCATGCGCGAAGTCAGCATCGCAAAAGCGATACAAAATTAACGCATGATAACAACCTGCCAATCGAAACTGTCATTGTCACCCAAAGAGTTGACATGAAAATTTATTTTATGAACGCATCGTTATTATTTGTCTCCCGGAGTGATGTTTGCAATAATCTGTGTGCGAAAGTGCAAAAGTGATGCGCGATTCTTTTTCTTGTTTTGTGTGTGTGTTTTTTTAGTTTGTTTGTTTATTTGTGCTGGATGTGCACATCAATGAAACTATCTTCGCCATCTCAAATGAATATACTTCACACGAACAGCCATGGAAATGCTGAAGAATCGAAATAACAATAATCATAAAATAAGAACGACAATGACGATTATGATCAAGCGCGCCAATTAACACACGAACGTATAGAATGGTATAAAATGTTCGCTCATGTGTGTGTGTGTGTGTGTGTGTGTGTGCGTATATGTGTGGCGGGCAATCGAATCGAGAGACGAGAAAAATTCACCATATCGTGAGATCATGTTTGCGGGACAGCATTTCATATATTTTACAATGGTTGACAATTAATTGAAAATTGCACGTATGAATACATAGATGCAATGTTCCAAGGTGTGTTGTGCAACTTAATATGGTAAATGAACAAGATAGACCAAAACGTTACTCACTTGTTCATGACCAAAGATCGCAAAGATCACGCAGATGCACGCAGATACACACAAAACCACCAAACATACATAATGAAAAGTGCTAAAAAGAAGCAGATAGAGAGAGGGAGAATTGTAATCCCGAAGTGAAATTTAATAGGCGAAACATGCACAATTTATGGGCGCGTAAATAAAGTTTGCCACTCATTCTCGCCAGCTTAAAATTCTATTCAATATTGCACCTCGATTAAATTTTATCTGAATAAGAAGTTATTGAATTGAGTTAGTGCCATAAAATATTGTTGCGAATCGGTGTTAACATGTATTGCGACAACATTGATCGTCCGACTTTGGTGTGCGTGCGGTCTTTTCTTGGTAACCTGTAAGATGATCGTATGCATTTCAATGCATGCATTTAACGCAATGGCTCAAACAAATTAAGGAAAATACATGTTTTCGTGTTATACAAATTATGCAGAAATATTTCGTTTGAAAACGGTTGATGATCGACATATTCTTAATTTCATTCAACATTTCAATGACCCAATAAATTACATGAAAATTTCAACCAGATTTGTACCATATTCATTGGCAGTGTTGATGGCAGTGCAATGAGATGAGGATATGTTTTTTCTTGTTTCTTGTACGCCTCAACTCACGATATACCCTAGTATAGCCTAACCAAACAAAATAGTAAATAAAACCGAAAACCGAACATATGCGTGGCAATCGATCTATGTGAATTTTCGATTGCTTGTTTTTTCTTCTTCTTCTTCTCTATTTTCCAAAAATAGATATATTTGCTGCGAATTTGTTTGATCATCATATGTTGCCACACGGCCACAAATACACAAGCGTGTAGTTGAAAACACCAAGGAAACGAACTCATCAAATGTTTAACTGTATTCAATTTCCTTTATTCAAATAGCGGAGCAATTCCGATGGAATATTATAGCACAAAATTTATGAACAATATTCTTTAAAATGTGTTTTGATCAGCGTTTTAACATGAGATATATTAACTAAAGGTAATGAATTGATTGTTTGGATTGCGTTGGCTTGAGTCCGACTAAATGTCGATGTCGGCATCTCACATTCTTAATGATTATATATTTAGATCGGCGTATGCGTCGTAACTTGACTCAAGTCGATACAATTTAAAATAAAACCAAATTGGTACGTGGTCGTTGTTACATTGTTGTTGTTTCTGATGCTTATGCTGTTACTTCATTCAGAGTGTATGTGTTTTTTTCTTTCGTTTTGTGCAGTTCTCTGTCCATTTCAGAATCGATAATGTTTATGGCATTTCATGTGTCAATTATTTCGATGTTTTTGTTCGTTTGTCTGTGTTTTTTCCAAATTATTTTCGTTAAAACAAACGGATATTGACCATTAACTTTTATATCATCTATTTTGTTTGTCACTTTTTGGCTATCGATATAGGTATATACAACAAATGAATCTGTAACGTTTTTTCATATATATATATTTTAAACTGACTATATATTTTATGGTTTTTATATACACGAAAAAAAAAACTTCTGTATTTCTTGTTCACCTAGTGAAATTGTTCAACTTCATTACTCTATTTAGTTGAAAATTCTTCCCATAAATTTTCTCCTCATTTTTGGATTGAAATTTTCCAAAAATTATGGTTTGCAAACTGGATTTCAGAGATTTCCGGATTATAAAAGGGCCTTTATAAATGTTCGAATTTTTTTTTCGCTTAAAATAAATAATGGCAGTATTTATGGGATTTTTTTTTAAAGAAATATATTGTGATCATTGTATTATAAGATAAATGGAACAAAATAGCAGTGTCAGAGTGCTACTGTCAACCTCAAATGAATTTAACATGACAAATATTT